GATTTTTTGGATCTTAACCAAATAAAAAAAAAAAAAAAAGTGTATTTAAAAGATATTAGAGACTGGTAGGCTTTTTTTCATAGCTTCCCTTCATCCTCCAGAATTGAAATAGTTTTAGGGGGAGTGGACCTATAAAAGTTAAGTGTTGAAAGCCCCACACTGGCCAATACCAGCAATTGGTTATTACCCCCACAATCTAACCATCACAATGACACAATCACAATGAAACCAATACTTTCATAAAAACGCAGCAATTAATTTATAGGTGACATTTTTTTCTTTAATGCTCAACCAAAGCACAGCAGCAGGGTGTATTTCCTTAACTGACTTTACTTAATTTGTAAATATCTTTGCAATGCTTTGTACCTGAAATGTAATTTTAGTGTCGTTATAAACAGGACAAATTATAAAACAAAATGTATACTTTTTATCTACAGTAAGGTTTTTTTTTGACAGTGGACAAAGTACAAAAGAGTTTTTAGTTTTTTCTTTTTATATATTTTTGTCTATGTAATGTATTAAAAATAAAATAATAATCCACAGAAGAAAGCCTTTTTTTGTCCTGAAAAAAACCTATACACCTACTACTTTGTTATCCTAAGGAACAATAAAGTTATTAGAGAAAAAACAGGCTTTTAGCAGAAATGTAGCAATTTTTGTCTGTACCATAAAGTGTATACAGGTGTGAGAGGTGACACGGTTAAAGACCATTTATAAACTACGTCTCCGCTCTGTGTTAATGGCAAATAAGTCTAAATAATAATGGTCTGGCCCTCTAGCAACTTCAGCGCGGAATTATAGCTAATTAGCCTACAAACGTCAGGTGGTCATAATAATCTGGCCACTCAGTGTATCATGAAAGATTAGGAAGATAAGTGTAACTAACACATTGCACACACTTCCCTACATATTCATATTACACTTCCTGAAGGTTATTTCGTTTTAGAGAGGAGTAGTAAGGCGATAAAACCAAATAGAAAGTGTGAATCTCAACAGTGGAGACACAGATAGCAATAAAAACCCAACAGGGGCTTCAAATCTTCCTCACACTGTAGAAAAATAAATGTGGCTTTAGATTTAATTTAAACTATATCCCTGCTCCTTAAAATATGCCACAACAAAACTGTTACAATGATTCCTACTAAATCAGTGATATAAATGATAACAGTTGTCAAGGATATGATTTAGAGTACAGCAACTATAGATGGAATGTATAAAAAGTCATTTGCATTTCGGAGCAGAGGTTTTATTCCCTTTGAAAACTATCCGTCTTTATGTGTTAATTTTCTTATTTACTTTTTTTTTTTTTTAGAAGGGCTGCCTCTTGCTAAAATTATCATAGGGATGTCACATGCTCATTTTAAGAAACAAGCAAAGCTTTGTAAACTTCTTCTATCGTTGCTAGGTGCTCATGAGCAGTAATCTAGAGCAAGTTGTAAGAAATGTTTTTGTTCAGCAGTGTAAGCAGACTCAACCCAATTACAGCTCATTTTACTTGGTGACTGCTTATTGTTAGTCTTTGCACTAAATGGCCCTGTCATTGAATGAATCTGACTGCATTATACAATAAAGAACTGAAACCAGAAACTTTAACAAAGACATAACCGTTGAAGTGTCCATTTAATAGGTCCCTTGGCAATTTGCTTTATCTAAGCACGCCACTCACACTCTAGCAACAGATTATATAATTTACAATGTACAACAAAATACATCTGACATCGTGTATGGGCCCGATTCATAACGTCAGCCAATGCATTTCATTAAAATACTATCAAACCAGCAGTGCCATCACCCATGCAATAAAACACTTATATACAGTCCCTAGCTTCTGTTATACAATTCTTGTACAAATTAAAATATTTTTACAAAAAGAATTCTTTGTTCAAAATGTATAAAGTTTAATGAATGACCCCCCCAAAAATTGTAAGGTTCCTAGGTATAAATGTTAGCGCAATTCTGTTTAATAGTTTGAACAGTTTAACAGCAATTAGGTTGAAATTACAGTGAGGAAGGCACTTGGCTTGTTAACCCCCTCCCCGATGAAAGACAGTTCTGTAAGTGATAACACAAGACACTTAAGATGTGGTCTGGGCATCTGTCCTTGTCAGCAGAACACGCTCCAAAATTACACAAATCAGCAGAATATTTCTTCTAGAATATCCATATTTTGGCAAGAACAGAGCTCCCCCATGAATCCAGGACTAACTTAAACAGGGAAGGGGTTAGGTGAGTCAATCAACTCTCATTACTTAATTGGATAGGACTTGTCACCAGGATGTAGTAGAGAATCCTCTTCATGCAGTAGTTTCTGTTCACCAGCATAAGTAAGCAGCAAACAATTAGTGTAAGTAAAGTTGATTATAATAAAGTGAAGTATATATCCTATGAAAAAAACAGTAATCCAGCTTGTTGCGCCTCAGCTCAGAAAGTTACCCAAATTAGAGTGTCGAATAGGAGAAGTCACCAAGGTTTAGAGTATTAATACCAGTCTTTCCATCCACTTATAAATTAAAGATCGACAAGTCACTTGTCGCTGCTCAACCCTTGGACTGCTCATGCAGCGGGTGCACCAGCTGTGCCAATAAGAACTTCTATAGTAAGACCAGGTGAGGGGCGCATTGTATTGTGGAGCAGTGCATTATGTTACTGTGTGGCATCCTCATTACTGCTGAGACAGAAGAGCAGTCCTGTTGGCTTTCATCTTCTCTAATCTCTTCACTAAGTGACTGTTTGTCATTTCCATCTCCTCCATCTTGTCCAAAGCAGTTCGCAACTGTTAAGCAAATGAAAAAAACTTATTTGTAATGTTTCCTATACATAATAATACAGTTTCAAAAGCAAAGGGCATACAATAATAATATTTATAGCCAACACACTACACTTGTCCTTTGTGCCTAATTTTTATATCTCAATGGCACACCAGCTAATACATCCCAAGACAGCAAACAAAATCAAAGTAATGAGGATACAAAAGCAGGTATACACAGCACAAAGAGTACAAAGTAACTTTAATGGGGGAAAAAAATCTATAGTGGTTTTGTAAATATCGCAGATTCCTCCACCAATGCTATGAGTGTGGCAATCGAGGAATCCCCACTGTTTCTTTGGTATCCCGACAGCGGCCGCTGTTATAATACCTGAACAGAGCCGGCAGCTCATACGAAGAATTTCCCACCATCTCCTTAATATTATATATAGAGTACCTGTCACGACCATCTGCTATCACATGGGGGGGCTTGTAAGCCCCTCTATGTAATAGCAGTCAAAGTAAAGTAAAAAAAAAAATCTTTTTCAATTAAAATTAAATAAAATCAATCTAACAATAATAAAAAAATTTTTTTTTAAAGTCCCCCGCCCCCGCGTCGCCACGTAAACACGCGTCGGGTGCGCCTACGTATGAAAACGACGAACACGCTACACATGTTGGGTATCGCCGCGCACGCCGGAGTGAGAGCAATAATTCTAGGGCCAGTATTTTGGGGTATCTCTAAATTGATGACCTGTGGGGGCTTTTAAAGCGTCTTCTATTGACTTTTTGGGGTACTGCAGTTTTTCGCCGTTTCACGGACGCACGCAATTTGTAACCTATGCATGTTGGGTATCTTTTTACTCGTTGTAACCTCATCTTTTATATGTCATTTAAAAAATTGGTATTTTGTTGTGTTTTGGGGCATTAAATTAAATTTATCACTAAATGTTGGGGTTTAATAAGAAGTTGCGCTAATATTGCGCAACATAAAAATTTGCAACTACCACCATTTTATTCTATAGGGTCTTGGCATTCAGAAAATATATAATGTTGGGGGGTTTTAAGTCATTTTCAGGCCTAAAATGTGGAATATAACATGGGTGCAAAAAATGAAAAAAGGGCCTCAGTCATGAAGGGGTTAAAGTCCATTTCCACCTTTGTAAGTGATTGGCATTTATTGTGGTGATGTAGAGGTGCAGTGATTATTTATGTGTGTGTACATTTTCCTGACTCACATTGCAGGCTTTCTTCAAGTTTTTATTAGGCCTGAATCCCAGAAATTCAAAATTTTCTCCACAGGAAACTCAGTCTGACATCGGGTTTGGATTGTAAACCAGGCTGTAAACAGCTGCCCCTCCTCCCTGTGATTCTGTGTAACACGACCACTAAACACCAGCTACTCCTTTACACATAATACACTGTCCTGGGGAAGGGGGGGGGGGTGCCACTATGAATACTAATGAATAGGGGGTGGGGGTGAAGAGCTAACTTGTAATATACACATTGCTTGCAAAGCACAGAGGCTGCAGTTCCCATGAGCATATGAAGAGGGGAAATCTAACAAAAAACGCACGTTTCTGTGTTCATATACAGCAACTGCATATGCCTGCTTCTTCTTCACTCGGTGTACATTGCTGGCATATGTTCCTCAGCAAAGGTGCAAATGGGCTTTAAGCTAAAGCACTGTTAACAGAAACAGCTTTGTCAGGTGACCGCTGTGAAAAAACGAATGTTACCGGGGGCCTATCTTTGAATCTAGCCCATATAGGCTGCTAGAAGAGTTTTCTTTTGGAATGATTGTGCATTGTGTGTATTGATTGTGCATGTTATGACTGCATCTTGAAAAATACACAGACATATAATAAAAAGGCAGAAAATAAATGTATAAAACATATAGGATACATAACAAAATACATATTACTGCAGTCAAGAGACAAATGCTTTTTTATCTTTTTAGTTATCAAATTATCACACGGCAGAAAAATACCTCTCTTTGAAGTTTTCGTTTTTCTGCTTTTAGGTCATCTTCTACTTTTTCTGCATTTTCTGCTGAATTTTTATATCTGGCTACTTGTCCTTCGAGTCTAAGAACCTATAAAATGGAATACAGAAAAAGCGACTTCTTTAAAACAAAAGGACGGACTATAAAATATAACAATGATATTTTAATGTATGTAATAAAATTTACACACACACACACACACACACACACACACAAATAGATGGCTCAGGGTCAAAGCAACTGTAAATGAGGAAAGTAAATCTTCAAGTCCATGTTCTACTAGCTGGCTTAACTGGCAGTACCTGGCTATCACTTCTGGTTGTTTCAGCAATTCATCAGAGCACAGGTGAATCATTTTGTGGATGCTCTGTTTAGGTTCCCCAAGGCCAAGTAGACTATCTGACTTTCTTTCCCTCCCTACTCTTAGCTAATTAGTATTATTCAAGGCAAGAAGTCACACGCTGAGACTGCCAGGATGTGTCTAAGATGGAGGTACAGAGACTCTAGAGCAGGGGTAGCCAACCAGTGGTCCTTCAGCTGTGGTCAAACTAAAAATCCCATGATGCATCTCTCTCCGGGAGTCATGTCTGTGGCTGTGAGAATGTTGCAATGCCTCATGGGATTTGTAGTTGCACCACAGCTGGAGGACCACTGGTTGGCTAACCCTGCTCTAGAGCATTTCCTTGGCTCGGAAGCCTCCAAGCATGACCAGCAGAGGTAAATTTAGATTGTTTAAACATTCTAAAACATTTGTCTGGATATTCTGGACGATTTCAGAGTACTTACATTCTGTTCTATAGTAGCTAGATCTTGCTCTGCTTTTGAAAGCTTAAACTTGTACTCACTAATTTGTCTGTTGGCATCTCCTAGAGAAAAAAAAAGATCAGTGAAGTGACTGAGACATAAATGCGCTGTGACCTAATTGAAGGCTCCGTTTACACCTAGGCGTCAGCGTTTTCGCACATATTAGTGAGCGTTTTGTTTAAGGTCTCATCTAGTGTGTTTTGCAAATGTTTGCGTGCGTTAGAGGCGCATACATGAAGACACTTTTTTTATTGAGCAGAATGAAATGCATTGCAGTGAGTGAACGAACGTACACAAAATTGCACACAGAGATGTGCAAAACACGCGTGTTTCCAATGAAGCCTTTGCGGCCAAACGCACTGTAAATCGGCCAAAAAAAGCTCGTGTACTTTTTCTAGCATTTGACGTTTTACAGTTTGCTACAAAACTCTAAGGTGTGAACAGGGGCCAGGGGATTTTTTGTGTTGAGAGTTTTGTTGCGCTTAGCTTTGAGCATCAAAACGCCTAGGTGTGAACAGGGACTTACTCTTTTTTTAAATATCTGAAAGTACACATTGCAAAGCACAAACCATCAAAGGATGAAACTTGTAGAAGAGAATTGTTAATAACACAAAGTAGTCATCTGCGTATGTGGTTAACCTATAAGGACATCCTGCTGACCACTGGGACCCCAAGAAAGGACACTTGTTTTTTTCTGCAGCTAGATTCCAGCAGCGCATGCAGAAAAATGATCACTGTCTTTCAGCAGACTTGGGTATAAAGTATGGATGTACCGATACTAGTATCGGTATTGGTGCCGATACCAAGTATTTAGGTGAGATGGGGGAATGCTCTTATACTTATCCCAATACCAGAACTTCCGGTCAGAGGGAGATTTACTCTGACCGGCAATTTACTCTGTCCGCGCACTGACAGCTCTCCCCGTGCATCTATGGATTCTGGTCAATTGTGATGTCACTGGCTGGATTGCAGGGCCAGCAGACTGCACAGGTGTCCAGAGCTCTCGGCCCATGGACAGCAAAACCCAGAAGTGCCGAACAGTGGGCTCGATACTGATTGGCTGGGAATCCGACTTCCCAGCCAATTAGCATTGAGCCAGCCAAACAGCCTGGAAGAAAGCTGGGCAGTGGGTAATGACTCGCTGCCCGGGTTCCCGATTGTCCAGTAAGCCAGCTCCATGCAACCGAAGTATAGATATCGGTACTCGTACCCGATACCGAAAAACCGGTATCAGTGCATCCCTACTACAAAGTTCAGTATTTGTCCTGGAATTCTCCAGCAACATAGACCTTGGACCTGGATATGCACTACACAAAATTACAGGAATGTCTGTTAAGTGGCTTTCTATAACTAAGCATATGACAAGCATTTGAATTATGCTTTCCTATATGCTGTAAATGTGTTGCAATTGTATAACTTAATGATCCTTTCAAACTGATAAGTTTAAACAGAGTAGAAGACTTATCTATATGGCAGGGAGATACCTGCTATATCAAAGCTCAATAGGCGACTCACAGGTTTCAGAGCTGCTAACACATTCTAAAGAATACTTGCAGACTTTGCAAGGTCCATTGCTCAAAAGCAGAAGTGTATCCTGATGCCTTTTTAAAGAATCGTATTGTTAAAGCTTCCTCTGGTTTTTAACCTGCAGAGAAACCACACTGTTTCGTATGACATATAAATATTATCACAGTGGGCAAGTTCAGCTGAAGGAGAGTACTGTAGTTGTTGTGGTATGGCAGGAAGAAATGTCCAGCGTCACCTAATAAATTCCAAACAACATGTAGGCCTCATGGAACAGCTGCCCCATTGTTTTCTTGCTTGTTCAACAGTGACCATGCCGGTACTATGTAATTAGAACCAGACAACCACAAACTATACATTGAAAATGTACTGTACATTCAAGCAACCTGCGGTGTATTTAAAAAAAAATAATTTTGTCATACCTTACAGTAAAATTAGAAACTGTTACCCAACCTTACCCAAAAATGAACAATTGTAAAAACCAAATTGAGTTTTCTTTGAACAGAAGATTTGCACATTCATGGCTCCTCTCCATATATTTGGAGGAGTTTACTGAGATATGTTTTTGTCCTCCATTCTCTAAATTAAGATGACAGTGGCTGAAAGGTTTTGTTAAGGGTGTCCCAAACGAACCTGTACACCTGATCACAGTCCTATCACTACAAATACAGAGAGGCACGGCAACCAGGAAGGCAATTTAGAACTGTTTTATACTATTAGTAAAAAGTGCCAGAAAGAATAGCAACATACTCTGCATTTCAATAAACTGCAGGTCAGACCCATTCTCTAATCCAGCTGAATCAGTCATGGTAGTGTCATTTCTTGAATTCTTTTGTCGCTCCTCATCTAGCTGTAACTTTAATTTTCTGATCTGAAAGAGAACAAAGAAGGATTTAAATCCATATCACTGTTATAACAATAAAACAATCTATTATAAATTGTAATATTCAAATTTTTTTATTAGACAAGCACAAACAAAAATAACCATACAAATCCATATATACAATATAGACCAGTGGTTCTCAACCTGTGGGTCGCGACCCAAAAGTGGGTCGCAACCCACAGTTGAGGGGGTCCCCATGTGCCTTGGGCTGCTCTAGGTAAGAGGCTCCTCAGCCTTCTCCTCGCGCAGCCGTGTCAGTTCTCCTAGATGGCGCTGCAGCAGCAGGGGCCGGAGAGGATCAGAGAGAGGGGAGCAGGCAGTAGTGAGGGGAGGTGAGTGCTTGATAACCACAGAGCCCGCACTGGGCACCACAGAGCCCGCACTGGGCACCACAGAGCATGCACTAGACGCCACCAGAGAGTCCCACTGGCCACCTGAGAGCCCACACAGATACTAGTATTGGTGCATCCCTAAATTTTATGGTTGGGGGTCACCACAACTTGGAAAATGATACCAAGGGGTCCCGGCCCTAGAAAGGTTGAGAACCACTGATATAGACATTACATATCCCCATGTACATAGCATCAATCATCAATGCATTAATAGACGACTTCTACCCCGTTCTCTTTTCTCATGCTTTCTCTCCCTTCCTTCTTTTTTTTGACCCACATAGATATACAGTCTATTTTACAACATGAGTATCAAGTAATGTCTAGCCTAATCCTTCCACATTTTATTTTCGCAAACGTTACTTTTAACTTATTATTCCCTATTTTTGATATTTTTAGTCTCATAATTAATAATTTTCTCTGGTAAGTAACCATGGAGACTAGGTTGCATAAAATCTATCATCTCTATCATAGAGTTGGGCTGTTATACATCAAGCGATCCAATTCCATTTCCAATTCCCCCATACTAGGAACCACATCCGTTTTCCAGTGTCTTGGAATAACTTGCTGCTATCAAAAAAAACCCTCAAGAGGTCCCTTTTAACAGATGCAAATGTGCCAGGGAACCTCGACAATAGAGCCACCTGTGGAGTTCGGGTGGGAGACGAGTTTGACACACTTTCATCTATATCAAAAACCAATTTCACCGGGGGTCGCATAACTAGTTAGCATGGAGGAGTCTCATTCATTAATCGCAATTTACGAGACAAATCGCTCCACCAATTAAGAACGGCCATGCACCACCACCCACAGAATCGAGAAACAGCTATCGATCTGTCAATCCTTTCCGTGTCCGGGCCGGGTGAGGTTTCCCGTGTTGAGTCAATATTATACATTTGAATGATCTTGGCTTGTTCTGAAGCTCAAATATTAGCACCTTCTTGCCGTCTGCCCATTGAGAAAAAAGGGACGGACGGCAGACTCCCATTGGCGGGTTGCCGTCTCCAGACGGCATTTTTTTTCCTGCTAGTGCGCAGGGCAGGAAAGACCTGCACATTCAGCACAGCCGTTACAGGCTGTTTCTCATACAACCAATCAGCGGCTCTATAGCCGCTGATCGATTGTATGGGGTGTTTTGAAGTGAAACCGCCTCCGACCCCCAAATACCACCAAAAGAAAGCTCTATCTGTCCCTAAAAAATGGTATAAAATGTATTTCAGTACAGCGTTGAATAAATGAATAAATGTCAAAGTACCGCAGCGCTGAATACTGAAAAATGGCCTGGATGGGAAGGGGGTGTAAACACCGCGGACTTCAAGTGGTTAAAGGGTAATTCCATTTTCCCAGGTGAATTTGGGAAAATGGAATTACCCCTTCCAATCTAGCCCCCACCCTTGCTATACTTACCTTTGGATGAACGCTCCTTGCCCTCCCCCGGTGCACTATCCGTAGCCCGTACACTGCAGGGGGGCCCAATGAGCCGATTTTGAATTTTGCTGGCAAAATAAGAAGCGCTTCTCATTGGTCACCTGACCGCGCTGACAAATAAGTGCTTGTAATTTGCAAGTAAAATTCAAAATACAGAGCGCAGGGCTGGTTACAGACAGTACACCAGCACTGGTAAAAGGGGAAGGAGCATTCGCCCAAAGGTATGTATAGCACACGTGCGGTGCCAAATTGGAGGGGGTTAATACATTTTCCCAAATTCGCCTGGTAAAGTGAAAATACCCTTACAAAATGCATTTGTTTCTAATTTGTGTTTTAAAGCATCTTTATCTTGTTCACTGTAAAATGAGACAGCACTTTCTATTTATATCCAGTGCAAACTGAACCAGCAAAGGACAGGATTACTTTAAAATTCATAGAGTACTTCCTGTCATTTATGTGCAGCTTTATACATTAATGCATGTACAATGCCTACGTTGTGAGTTTCACATATAGCACCACTCATGCACAAGTTATATTTAAATGTTTAACCCTTCATATAATGTTGTAGCTTTGCAAAAAACTTAACCAATGCCCAAAGGTCTGCATTCTTAACTTTTTTTGTTGCTGTGCAGCATAAATATATATAATTAATTTCTAGCCAACGGATAGACAAAAACTTGCTCAAAAGAGCAAAATAAGTCGAATAATCCAAACCTCACCAATTATTTGTATTTTTTTTAATCAAACCCCAAATACAGTATTTCTTGTAATAAATTATAACAATAGACAATCACAATCACACAAATATGTTTTTATATATAAAAAAAATTACAGTTTACCTGTGACACAAGCTCATCCCTTTCTTCAGCTAATTTCCGGAGCCTGACATCTAAAAACAGTCAAATGTTATTAGTAAATAACAAACAATGGTCCAATTCTTTATTGCTAGTATTAAAGAAGAATTTGACAAACACTGCTTATAGCTGATATGCCCTAGGCTCTTACCAAGACTTTATTTTAAGAAGAAAAAAAAAGACTAGTTATTAACAGCGTTATAGAAATAGACCTTTTGAGGAGAAGCTTTGAGAGGAATGAAGCCTGTAGTAAACATAGAATACATTTCTCTCATACTGCACTAAAAACAAATGCAGTAAATCTGTCTGGAAGCTGTAGGAAGTGGAACACTACTTCCTCAGAAGGCCCACTATAAACATACTCTTGAATAAGTCAAATGTTTTTTAATTGGATTCATGGAAACAGACATCAAAAAGACATTTTCACTCCCATGCCAAAGTGCAGGAGACTGAGGGTGAAATTAAAGATGTGGTTTTCAGTGGATCAGTGTTTACAAGCTGAATACTCCACCTTCATTAATAAAAAATCCTCTCCTCTCCAGGTCAAATCAATGCACTGCAAGTGTGCGCTGAGAATATTGTTATAGACCAGCACTCTTCTGGAAAAACATACAGCATTGAGTATTTAATTGCAGTAAACCTAAGGACACTGTTGGATATGCCTGCAATTTACCCTGAAACATTAATCAGTAACCTAATTTCAAATGATGATGAAAGGACAGAAATTGCCATTATTGGCAGGACCAGAAAGCCTGAATTGGCTGCAGATTGGTCATTCCTAATTATCTTTAGAAATAAAATGCTATTCTACACCAAAAATGCAGTTCTTCACTTACCAAGTGGTCCTTCTCCTGCAGATTCCAACACTTGTGCAGCTTCTTGAGTCACAACAGTAATTGCCCTGACCACTGGCTCATGGTTTATATCACCATTTGGGGTACCATCTGGAATAATAACTAAGCCATGTTTCTGGGTGGTGATAAAAAGAGAAAATATGTCACATTTCACTAGGAAAACTGGAGCAAAATCATTTTAAGTAAACAGCATTATGCTGGTATATAAGCAGACAAATATGCAGTTTCTCAGCTTAATTTCTACTTATTTGCATGTAATGCATAGTGTTCACATGTGAAAGGGGCAAGAGGAAAGGAGGAAATTGGTTGGTCAAATTATGAAGTGCAAGATCTGATGTGAACTGTGAGTGAACCTTGGTAAGTTGCACATACATAGGGCAATTTTTGCCAAAAATGTTAACTTTACTCAATGTTTTTAAAACAATATGGTATGAGTTGTAATCTTCACTCTCTGCACACTATGTGTTTGAATTGTAACAGGTAAAAAAAAAAGTCCATATCGATCACAATTGCACTGTTGAGATTTAACCATAGGTAGGTATTGTTGATGATCAACCAATCAGAGTTGTCACAAACTGATATATGTGGCCAGTTGTATGCATTCAAATGCAAAAACAAGACACATGGCAATTATAGATGGCCACTTGAAAGGTTGTCCTATCTAAACTGAAAACAGCAAGAGGAGTTCTGGGCTTTTGATTGCTCAATTAGCAGGAACGGATAAACTTGTTTCAATTTCTTAAAATGCATCTGCAAAGCCTCCATTATGCTAAACATGCGGGTACATGTAAAATGTTGTTTTGCAAATCTGGATAAACAGGTTATCTAGTAATGAATCGAAAATTAGAACTTGGAAATCAGCACAGTATATTAAGAAAGTCAGACAGATTTTAGGCTTGGAAACCATTTATCTGTGGCCAATACAAAAGTGGCCATGAATGCAATTAATGCCTGACGTGACTGTGAGAGGACACACTGCAGTTCTTGTTACCCTGAAGAAACAAGTGTTTTATTTCAGCCAATGCTGTAGCTGCTTTAACATGTGTAAACAACTAGCTGCGTTTTACTCAAAGCAGTTGGTCCTCATGCCTACTCACAGGTCCTATGCTATTTGCTGCTGCTAAGGAAACCTCTTGAAGTATTCCAGGGTAAGTAAAAGCTGAACGTTAGACTAAGGGCCTGGGGAAGCCTGATAATAGGTGATCAACAAACCAGTTTAGCCCGCAGATACTGTAGAAAGTACTCCACAATCTATTAAAGTGATGCTAAACTCAGGAGTTGAATCATAAAAAGGCATTCAAGTACCTTAATTATTTACAAAAATGTAGCTTATTTGTGTATCACTCAGCTAATCATCTCTGACTTTGTGCTGACGCTGTCCTTCCTTCTGGAGGGTGGATAGTTTTGTTGCCCATGGTCCCTGTATGGATTACAACCTCACATTTAGTTTACTGATTTGTATTGAAGTTATAGTCCATCACAGGAGCGAGCTTGGAGTGGTGGCTACTTTACAACACACACAGGGACCATGGGGAACAAAAGTAACCACCCTCCAGAAAGGACAGTGTCGGTATGAATTCAGAGATGATTTGAGGATCTACAGCCGAGTGATACACAAATAAGATACATTTTTAATAGTAAATTTTTTAGATTTAACTCCTGAGTTTAAATGATGTAGACATGTCTGTTTTTTGTAGACATAATAAAAGTGTAAGAAAAAAAAAATCTTCATTAGTAATCCATGACCGCACTCACATGGAAATCATCACCTCCTACCTTAAGGGACACACAAGCTTAAAATATCTCACCCACAACCTGCCTAGTGAATAATAAGGAATCCCTTAGTTATAAAAGCAACTGAGGTGTGGAGGTGGCAGAGGAATTAGTTATACCCCAGGGAAAGTTAATTAAAAAGATTGCTGCAACTGGATAAAGCAGAATCTACAAACACATCATAAGCATTGGACTGTTGCAGGAGTACAGAGGTTGAGGCACAAGAAGCCATTCCCATATGCAGAAAATCTCTGTCACAGTAGGGAGCAGAATACATTGGAAATGTAGGTATTTGTGGGATTTAACATCATGTTCCTATGCCTTTGGGAGGTAGGAAATGTCCCTTTGCTGTTAAAAGTCTTGAAAGCCCCCAACTTCCCCCAGATGAAAAACAGAATAAGGTAAAAGACAAAATATACAAAACATTACCCATACATTTTCATTTTTTTATAGGAGAAGCTATAAATGTCAGGTAACAAGAGAAACTTACTAAAGTAAATAGTAAACAAATCTAAAATTGTTAAATTGCAGCAATGTTAAGAGGACCTGTCATGACTGGGCGTAAGCAGAATCTAATTACATAGAGTCCTAATTATTTTAACTGTTATTTATATTTCTTTGAAAATTTAGCATAAAAACTTCAGTTAAAGTGCAAGAAGTCTGAGGTCGCTTGGGTCTGACACACACATACCTCACTCAAGTGACCTCTAACCTTCTGCCTAACTGCCTAAGCAACAACAGTTGCTGACAGGTCCCTTGCAAGAATAAATACGAATTTTTAAAGAATTTTTAAAAACCTCTGACGTGCCTTGACAGTAATGTAGTAACGGCCAATGCCTTTATATAACATACATTAACGTTGTGAATATATATTCAATTAAAATGGCTTTAAACAATTCACAAAATCATACATGCAGTATTTTCATTTTGTTTCTTAGCCACAGAAAATAGATATTTTTCCAATTTATCAAGGGCCCCCTCAATGTGTGTAATGCACATTAATGCAATGCAGTGCCATTTATTTTTGAATGTCACCCCAATAAACCTGCATTGCAGAGCACCGCAACGCACAGTAAAGCACTACCACATGTTGTGCTGTGCAGCCTCACAAAAAATGCTGCAGGTTAGTTTTTCCGTGTGTTGCCAGCCCATTCAAATGAATAGGCAGCCATAACAATGTGCAAATGGGTCCTGAAGGTATTACTGTACAGATCAATTAATGTGCATGTGTTGGTTAGCTTTCATTTATGGCATTTATTGCTTAAAAGTCAATCCACACTGTATGAGTTATCACTTATTAACATAACATTAGCACCAGTCTTGTGATTACAGGGTATCAATAAATATCTGTTGAGGAAAGCAGGAAAACTAGCTGTTTGAAGTGATGATGAAATAAAATGTCATGAGATAAAAAAGCAATTCAGGGAAAATGACCTTTTCATTGGGGAATACAAATGGCAATTCTACACACAAGCAATATTCCCATTTGTGAAGATAAAAAAAAAATGAAGAATAACTCATCCATGACAGTGAATTGAGCCTATTGTGCCTAGAGACGGTCACCCACTTAACTGCTCTGGTCACTCTGAAACATGCAGCAAATACTGTACCTCTCCTATCTTCATTTTTTCTTTTACATCAGCCAGCTCATCTCTGAGCTCGTCCCGTTCATTTTTAATGCAGTCAAAGTACTCTTTCTGCCTCTCTAGAGCCTGCAAGCAGGCAATTTAACAGCAGTATAGCAGAGACAGGCAAAGCAGCAGAAGGAAAAGAGAAAGAGGGAAAATGAAACATAGGCAAAAGAGAGAATCAGGCAAACACACGAGACTAGTCACAAAACCAGCACAAGTGATCACGCATTATAAGAACTTAGTGGTCACAAACTCTAAACTTCTGTCTTCAGGGTACAGCAAAACTCTAGCCCCAGGAACATTAACAACTAATGAACTCAGTGTTAATTAAAATCTTGGCCTAGCCACTTACAAGGTACATAAATAATTTAATATGCTTGCTTGACTGTGGCAGAAACAGCAATTCTCTTTTTACTAAACTTTATGTAGCTCAACAGTACTACTGTGGTACCTCTGTTCACGAACTTAATTCATTCCACGATTCTGGCCGCCAACCGAATTGATTGCGAACCAAATCAAACTGTGATCAGACCTCGATTTCGACTAGTGGAAGCCACGACCATGCGTCAGAGCAGGGAAGATGGCTGTGATTTTGTTCGTCACCCGATGCGGAGTTCGTGAACGGAAGCAAAATTTTGCCGAACTTGCGGAGTTCGTGAACCGAATTGTTCGCAAACAGAAGCGTTCGAGAACCGAGGTATTACTGTATCTGTGTTATGCTCATTACCTCCTATTAAAACACTATCAGCTGTAAATGACCTTTTGTCTAAATGAAGACAACATTTAACTGATCCTTGACAAGTAGGTCATGCATCCAGTGCTTCTAAATAAAAAAACTTACCGCAAATCATAATATTACTGATTTAAGTAAACTCCATCACAACACATGTTATTATCTGCTAAAGAGCCAACATGCATTGACATTTTAGGTTGTCAGGTACAGACCAGAATACAGTACAAAATGTATTTCTTCAATCACCTCAGCCTCAAGTAAATATAACATGCAGTCGTGGTTCCCATAGATGAGAGATTATAGTCTATTTCACCTAAATTTTAGACATTTTGCTGCAATTTGTTATGCTGAAGAATGGAGGGATAATTATAGTTTAAAACCACTTTTTGCTTTTTATAACATAGCACTTTTTGAATGTAACCGCTAAAACACATTTGCCTTAAAGTGTATGTCTGGAAAAATGGAAAAAGTATTCAGTTAATCTGTAAAATGCATGCATATTTCTCCGTTTCATCTCTGTAAACATACTGCAAAGTACCGAAAATTGCTTTGATTCTGCCAATGAGCTGCTTACGTATTGTAGTCAGCTGACAGCACTGCCTTTGCTGCCCTAAAATTTCAAGAAGTGTTGTCAGCTATGTCCTTTGTTGGACTGCAGGACACCTGCCCATTATGTTATGGAGAGGAGGAGGTGTCCTGTATGTAAATTATAAAAAGGCACAGAAATGTTAAAATGTGAAAGCAAAAGATTTTCAGCTAAACTGCATAATAATAGCACAAAATGTAAACGCAAACTGTATATACACTCTAACATACTTTGAAGGGTCACATTACTCAGCTCATATAAACATATGTATTTTTGATAAGTATGTCATTGTGTGTCAGAAGGAAGTATGTGGAGTGTTCATTTTCAATACCAAAGGTTTAAACTACCAATTGTCGTTTGGTGACTCCCTTTTGCCTAACGATATTAGGTGGTGGCTGACTAAGTATCCATAACACAGTGGCTGAACTATCATTTTATTCAAAAAGTACACAAAAGGCCAACTTGCATACTTGTGACTATCCAGGAAGGATAGAGGATTGCTGCAAGCACTGGTTCTCCTGGCGGAAACAGTCATCAGCTAGAACAATCTACCCCGACTGATCAACTTTCTCTTAAGCACTGCTTCAAACAATGGAGTCAATCTAACACAGTGGACATACTACAAAAGTGGAGAGAACATGGTGAACTCATCAGCATGCAGCTATTTCCTCATTGTCCTTCTGTAGGCTACACTGGGTTATGGACTAGGTTTTGTTGCCTGACTGCACTGTAGTCTGCAGGGAGGTCCATTGCATGGTTGCACTGTTTGGCAGCAATTAAAAATCCTTTGACAGGCAAAGCAATTGTGTGTTTAGCCGTTTGTCTAGAGTTGAGCATATTAAAAGAGTTTGTTGTTTCAAATAGTTTTCTGTTACCGCGGAAATCTCGCCCTTGACTTCTAAAGTGTTTCAGCTGATCACAGATTGAATACACGTATTGCCTTTTTTTAAATAGTGTTACAAAAAAATAACATTCAATTAGTTTGAGCTCTCATTTGTGGGAGTATATTGAAGATTCTTATGTTTATATTTAAGCGCTGGTCTGCTCCTGACAAGCTATAACACTTTTCCTAGTCATTCACTACAGCCTTGTGCCTACCCCAATTTTTTTATCTTTCCAATTAACTGTCTCCTGTAGATCATACACCTCCCTGGTGAGAGAGTCTACTTTCTGCTGAAAACGCTGATTTTCCTGGAATCAGAATTCGAAAGAAACAGGGAAAGAAATGGAAAAAACAAAAAGAAAAAAGAAGGAATCTTTTAAAGTGCAACAAATAATATAATTAAAGTAAGCATTTTAAGATAAGTTAAGCAAAGAGCAGTAGATTTATAAGAAAGTTTACATTTTTAAGTATAATCATTTGTGTTGAATTTATAAGGGACGATGTGAAGACCATGGTTAGAAAACAATGCACTTGAATTGTTATTTTCAGTAGTTCTAGAAAGGAATTTTGTGTTGTTTCTGTCTTCATACATACCTCTATTAATTCATCTCTTTGGCGAATACCTTCTTTAAGTTCATCTAACTTATGCTGTAGAATACTGCACGCATGTTTCTGTCTTTCCAAATCCTGCATGGGAATGAAAATGACAGTTTAGTAGAAACCTTTTGTGCTCCTTATTTAGGAGACTTCATTAACAGCACACAGCTATCCCTACTCAAAAAAGAAACATTTTCGGCCTAATAAATAAGGAGTTATTATTAAGTACAGTAAACTATAACTACTAATTAAAAAAGAACCCCTTACTGTACTTGTCTGACTTCAGCAGAATAAATTCTGATCGGCTGTTGAGTATTACCAGCACTTAAGCATTAGATTTTTATTGAATTAACATTATAGATTTTTATTGAATAGGGCTGTTCAATGCAGGTGGTCATGACTGACCTGACATTTTGGCACCAATGTTTTGTGTGAAATATATCTAACATAATGATTATTGATATATTAAACATCATTTTAACAAAAAGACATCCGGATACATTTCTTCCCCATCACAAATGATACATCATAGACATATGCTATCAAGACCCATTTGGGAAGCTATATGCTGGCCATGCGTAGGAAGGTACACTCAAACTATTTTATTTTTTTTAAGGAGGAAAGATTCTGTGAGTTGGACTAGGTCATAACTAGAGGTGCACACTGAAATGAAAATGTTAAAACTGAAACTAAACCGAAATGAAAAAAAAATGTCGGGCCGAAACCAAAAATGTTTTTTTTCCCCTAACTTTTTTACATTTTTAAATAAACTTTTACTTTTTTCACATTTTATTTTTTTCCTTTACTGTTAGGGGCTCCGGGGAAATATTAGGGGTCTAAACAGATCCCTGATATTTCCCTTTTAAAATAGAAAAAGATTGAGAACACAGTCCTCAATCTCTTTTTCTGCAGCCCCTGTTAAAAATGTACAGGAAGCTTCTATACTGAGTGTTCCTGTTCATTCATAACTTGTGGAGATAGTATGTTTACTATCTCCACAATCATGAATGAACAGGAGGTGATGTAGATCACTTCCCATTCATTCATAATTGAGGATATAGTAAACATACTCTGACCTCGATTGTTTACAAACACTCAGCGATCACTGGAGTGTTTGTACCTCGCTCTCCTTCCTGACACGCTGTCACAGGAGGCTGAGCGAGTGGTGCAGGGAGGAGAGCTCGATCTGACAACTGACTCCTCCCACACAGCGTCGACCTCATGTGACAGAACTGGCTTTCTCCGCCCACGCGGTCGCTCTCCCGATCTGTCACTGGAGGCTGAGCGATGCGGGGAGGAGAGACGCTGGCTGCTCAGTGATCTCTGCCCACAACGCTTGGCCTCCTATGACGGTTTCTCTCCTCCTGCTGGGACACAGAGCAGCGCCCAGCGAGGAGGAGAGAAAGAACGGGTGCACCGCTATTTCGCCCCAAAAAATTGCACTTTAGGCATTTTCGCCAAAAGTGCCATTTTCGGCTGATACGTTTCGGCGGCCGATATATTAGTGCATCCCTAGTTATAACAGAGCTTGCCACTTGTAGCAAAACAAGTCAGGTTTTTCTTGCCAGTGTCGCTACTAAGGAGAATCAGCATCATTATTTATCCAAGTGGACATTGTCACCAAAACAGAAATTATGGTAAATCCAACATTTTCCAGTTATCACTGGAACAGCAGGATAGGGGTTAATAACAGGCGGACAAGGCTGTTCTGGTGACAACTAAGAGGGGATTTCCCTCACCTTGGAAATTTACTCTCACATCTTGTTTAATGTGGCCAGGAAGTAAATAGATACTTTTTACATACACTTTAAAAAATGACTAATGTGCCTAGTACACAGATGGAGACAATATATCTGTAATAAAACTCCAGGGAGTTTTGTTGGAATACATTTTAGCAATCTGAAGAACTTCTGTAACAGGAAAGTGGAGGAAGACTATGAAAATGGAGGTTGTTAGTATAATGAGTATAATGGGTATCTGAATAGGTATTTATTGACTTAGACTGAACTTTAAACAAACAATCAGATGATAATATTTTGGAAGAAACTAAAGTAAAAGTGCTTATAACTAATGAAGTGAGTTGGCAAAGGTTTTTTAACCTCCCTGGCGGTCTGATTATCTCAGTATTTTTTTTTCTGTTTCTTTTTACTTTTAAATTTCACGTCGGTTCGGCACCCTGCGACGCGGGCGCTAGCAAGGGACGATACCCGGATGCCGGCATCGGCCCGAGGACACAGTGGGGCTCGTAGGGACAAGATAAGTGACACACAGTGTAATCCCGAGTGTGGCTCGGGGTTACCGCTTTTGGTACTGGAAATTAACCCCGAACCACACTCAGGATTACACTGTGCGTCACTTATCTTGTCCCTACGAGCCCCGCTGTGTACTCTGGCCGATGCCGGCATCCGTCCCTTGCGAGTGCCCGTGTCGCAGGGGGTGGAACCGGCGGGAAATTTATAAGTAAAAAAAACTGGAAAAAAAAATTGAAAAAAACGCTTACCGCTTTTGGTACTGAAAATTAACCCCGAGCCACACTCGGGATTACCTCCAGGAAGGTTAAATACGTTTTTATTGTCCATAAGAGATAATAAATGCCAAATAAGGCAGCAACAATTGACAGTCATGAGTATATCACAATGTTACAGGTGAATTTGATCATCGCTATACAGAGAACATTTAGACAGACATGACAAAAGCATTGTGCATCAACTGGCAACACAATACTGTTGGAAACAAAGACCAGAAAAGAGGTTATTAGAGTGCCAGAAAAACAACTAATGGGGGGGGGGAGATGGCGCAGTGGACCAAACCCTTCTGTGTTGTGTCTAATAGGACTCTAGCTAGCTCTAGTTGGAGCTGTGGTCTATTGACCATTATCGAGTGCCCAAGAGAGATTTGGGGCCTTTTAAATTCAAGAGAAAGTAAAGGACTAAGATGCCAATGTGTCCATGAAGGGAATGCAGGGGGTCTTGGGTATCCGGAGGTAGGCTGTCAATTCAGTGACTGAATCCTTAATATGAGGAACAGTGGGGGACCTGCAGTGACTAGGAAGTAAGGTGTGCATAGCAGAACCAATAGCAAAGTAATGTCTTGGCGATGGTGGCAGAGGGTCCAGATGGAACAGTCAATAGTGCTGTCTGGGGTATGCTTGACCTTGTGACCTGGCAATATATGTCAAAGATTGTTTCCTACAGCATTCCACCATATATGTAGCACCAACAGAAGGGGGAGTAGTTGGAAAAAGTGTATGTAGTGCATATGGGTTTTTATACCAATGAGTCAATATTTTCTATCCCTTTTCTTGGGACACAGTAGATCTAGTTAGTTACTAAGGGCACATGTGTTCACGACTTCTTCTCGGGTGAGCTGGACCAATAATTCCTGTTCTCATGCAGCAAAAATAATATGCGTGGGTAGTATATTTCAGGCTGAGCAAGAGATGAAGGATTTTTTTGGACACATATGGGCACTGTCTGGAAACAATAAAGTCGTCTTTAACCAGTTGACATCCGCGGTGTTAAACCAGTCGGGTCTTTTCTGCCCGTGCGTGCCCACTAGGGGGTGCGCCCGAGCAGAAAAAAATTGCCGTCTGGAGACGGCAACCCGCAGATGTAGCAGTGCCGTCCGTCCGTTTTTTTACTACGGGCGGACGGCAAGAGGTTAAAGAATGTCCATATTAAAGATTCCTGAACCAAGATTGAGAAGTCTGGTCAAAGCCTCTAACAGGTGGAAGAGGGTCAGACGGTAGTTTAGTTTATAGCATAAGCAGGTTCTTTAATGTCACTTTAAGTGTAAAGGGGATACTAGGGGTCTTTTGGACCCCCAGCATCACCTTAAAGAGGACCTGTCAATGCCTATCTGCTATCACATGGGGGGCTTGTAAACCCCCTCTATGTGACAGCAATTAAAGTAAAGTTTAAAAAAAAACAAAAAACAGTTTTTTATCTACAGCCGGCGGATCGCATGTATATTAACGGGTATCGCTGCCCGTTTTTAAATTCCGGCCATTTCCCTGACGGCGCGCGTAGGGGGGCGTGTCTGAGCGGACGTCTAGAGACGCCCGCTCAGATCGAGAGAGCTCCTGGCCGACCGTTTTTTTACTACGGCCGGCACGGAGGTAGTTAAATAAATGTAAAAATAATTTAAATCATTTTTCTAAAACCCCCCGTGAGCATGCGCGTCTTCACGTAAAACACGCTTCGGGTGTGCCTAGGCATGAAAACGACGATCGCACTAGGCAACGCCGGAGTGAGAGCAATAATTCTAGGGCCAATATTACGTATTTCTCTACACTGATGACCTGTAGGGGCTTTTAAAGCGTCGTCTATGGACTTTTTGGGGTACTGAATTTTGTTGCAGTTTCATGGACGCACACCATTTTTAACCTGGACATGTTAGGTATCTATTTACTCATTGTAACCTCATCTTTTATAAATATAAAAATTTGCAACTGCAATCATTTTATTCTATAGGGTCTTGGCTTTCAGAAAATATATGTTTGGGGGTTTTATATAATTTTCAGGCCTAAAATGTGGATATAACATGTGCACAAAAAATGGGGGGAAAAAGGCCTCGGTAACTATGGGGTTAATGCTTTCAGTAACTAATTTATCACTTAACACATACCAGAAAAGTGTTTGCAGTGCTTAAATATAAATCTGTACTTTATATTCTAGTTATTAGCAATTCTTTTAAACTGATCACTGAAACACAAACACGCTCTTGAAATACCTTTGACTTGTCTTCATTTTCCCTATGATATTCTGCCATCTGTTCCTCCATTTCCTCAATGACATCTTTTAATGTGTCCACGTGGTACACAAGATTGCTTTTTTCATTATCAAGCTGTGCATTAGATACCATAGCCTTCTTGTATTTGTCCTCCACTTCTGCTAAGGAATCCTGTAGAATTGAGTAATGTAAACATAACATCAAGTAACTAGCATAGCAGCATGAATATGAGTGTTGTAATACATTTAGCACAGTTTGTATCAGTGGCTCTGTGTAATAATTAGCATCTTATTAACGGCATACTGAGTTGAATACAAAGGCATGCAGAGGTTATTCCAGGCAAGGGAACAGGTAAGTATTGTTTTAGTCAATTTTGGAAAGTTACATATTTGTTATTTAGTTTAAAAAACAAAAAATAAAAAAACTGTAGCAACAGAAAAGTAGTTTTCCACAAATACACAACAATAAGCCAAAACTCAAAAGCCCCTTTCACACGGGCTGATCAGAACGGGATCCGTGTATGGACACCTGTCCATTTAGACCGAGCTGTACATAGACTAGCAATGGGCATCCGATCGGGTCTGCCTGAAAAACTGACAGGTGGACACGATCAGACCACCCGTGTGAAAGGGGCCTAACAAATTATATGCATATATTTTCAAATATTTTAGTATTTGAACTGAAGACTAACAAAGATCAATTTACGCGATTAACTCTTTCTAAATAATAAAAATCCCTAAGGCCACCAATGGTCTTTCCCCAAAGATTAGGGTAATTTTATGTGAATCACATACACAAAGTATACTTAGAATAGAGATAAAGTTTATTTATGGCAGCATAAATTTTGCATGATTAAAAAAAAAAAAGAGCAAGGGGTATTAAGTAATAACAACTCTTGTGTATGTGGTTTTTATATCTTAGCTACTTATCTCTAAACTGAACAATTTTTGCAAACAATGCTCACTGCGTAAATCTGCCAGTGCATGGCTGTCCTTTCACAGAACCATTGTGAAAGTAAAACTGTGTTATTAGACCACAGTTGAGGAGCCTAAGCGTTAAATTTCACCACAAAAAAGTCAAATCATGAAAAAAAAAAACCTTTAAACAAAGTAAGGACGGTGGTTAAAGAAGCAAGTAGTACAAATATTTAGATTAAATTATGTAGTAAGGTTTGACATCGTTTGATCTTTTTGTAGAAATAAGTGCATAGTAGCCATGCTCCAACATGTGTTGAAATATTTTATGAGGAATACTTTTTACATCTTTTTAACTAAATCTCATAACTGTTTAAATACCTTCCACAGAAAAACAGCCAAGACGTATAATGTTACAATCCCGGTTCCCAAAAAAAAAATTGGGACAATGTGTAAAATCTACATAAAAACAGAATGAAATGATCTGCAAATTTCATAAACCTATATTTTATTCACAATAGAAAATAGAACATATATCAAATGTTTGAACCGAGAAAATTTACCATTTAAAAAAAAAAGGTAAATTTTGAAATTGATGACAGCGACACATCTCAAAAGTTGGGACAGCGCAACAAAAACCTGGCAAAGTGAGTGGTACTAACAAGCAAGAGTTTCTCAGAAGTAAAGATGGGCAGAGGTTCATCAATCTGTGAAAAGCTGCGTCTAATGTTCCTCAACGTAAAATGACAAAGACTTTAAATATATCATCAAAAATGCAAGTTAAAGCTCTATCATGCAAAGAAGAAGCCATATCTGAACATGATCCAGATGTGCTGATGTCTTGTCTTGGCCAAACCTCATTCAAAATGGTCTGTCGCAAAGTGGTAAACTGTTCTGTGGTCAGATGAAACTAAATTTTTAATTCTTTTTGGCAACCATGAGCACTGCGTTTGCTGGGCTAAAGAGGAGAGGGACCTACCTTATCAGCACTCACTTCAAAATCCTGCATCTCTAATGGTATGGGGTGCATGTGTGTATGGATTGGGCAGCTTGCACATCTGGAAAGGCAGCATCAATGCTGAAAGATATATCCAGGTTTTAAAGCAGCATATGCTCCCATCCAGACAGTGTCTTTTTCAGGGAAGGCCTTGCATATTTCAGTAGGACAATGCTAAACTGCATACTGCATCTATGACAACAGCATGGCTTTGTAGTAGAAGAGTCCGAGTGCTTAACTGGCCTGACTGCAGTCTAGACCTTTCACCAACAACTGAAAATATTTGGTACATCTTGAAATGAAAAATATGACAAAGAAGATCCAGGACTGTTGAGCAGTTAGAATCCTACATCAGGCAGGAATGGGACAACATTCCTCTCCCAAAACTCCAGCAACTGGTCTTCTCAGTTCCCAGACATTTATAGAGTATTGTTAAAAGAAGAGGGGATGCTACACCGTGGTAAACATGGCCCTGTCCCAACTTTTTTGAAACGTGTAGCTGCCATCAATTTCAAGATGACCTTATTCGTTTCTTTAAATGGTACATTTTCTCAGTTTAAAACATATGTAATGTTTTCTATTGTGAATAAAATATGGGTTTATGAGATTTGCAGATTATTGCATTCTGTTTTTATGCAGATTTTACAAAGCATCCTAACTTTTTTGGAATTGGGGTTGTATGTAAAATGACTATGCCTTCTGCTTCTTCATACAAACTACTTAAAATGAACAAATGTACAATTTCCTTTGCCCAGAACAGGCTAATCAGTTGAGCATAAAACACATTCTAACACTCAGAGCATCAGTTACTTATGTCCTTGGTATGAGAACGGAAAATATGTTTCATTTGAAGAGTAACTGGATTAAGGGCTCATTCCGATGGGCATGCACATCCATACGGTGTGCACACCTGTAAAAAGATCCGATCCCGGAAGGTGCTGTGTGTAACTGTATGCAGCAGCCTGTTCTTCCCTATGGAAGGATTCGGGTCTTTTTAGGGACATGGGACATCGTATGGACTTGTATGCCCCTCTGAATGAGCCCAAAACACCATAAACGGTTTCCTGTAGTTGAGACTATCACATTTATGTACTCTAGTGAATATATCATTAGTTTTCACTTTCACACTGCAGCAGGAATCACATACCATACACAACTTTTAAAAGCCACAGTGCTTAGCAAGTGCATACAATTTAAAATTATTCCAACATTCCAGAACATGTGATACAATGTAAGTGTCTCATATACACACACGCATATACAGGATTTCTAATTAGTTTGCAGTAACAAACAAAACACATAGGTGAAAGTACAATATAGAAATATAACAGTGATATGCATGCTTTCAATCAGATTCATGTATTACAAGTTAGTTAAGCCCTGAGCAGTCTCTGTTAGGGAGCAGGGTATATAATGGGCTTAACACTAGCAGTGCAACATGCATGCTGGGAATGGGCAGTAAAGGGAACCCTGATACCTTTAGTTCTTTTAGTCCCTGCATGTATCTCCCTTCTACATCTTGAATCTGGTCCTTAAGATCATAAATATCCTGCAGGAGATAGGCAACGAACCATGCTATCAAAACGTGTTAATAAAGAATCACTGAAGCAAAAAAGACATAATAACATGACCAATGTGTTAAACATTCTTTTTAATCATTCTCCAAAAAAACAATATTTTTAACTTACCATAACATTTTATATGAAAAATGAAAAAACAACTAGGTTATATTGCTGCCTTCAGGATGTCGGGACACTGGCAAAACAAAAAACCAAAAGCCAGCCCACTATATAACCATGCCTCCAACTGTCACGCCAAAAAAAAAAAATCTAAAGTGGAACAAAAACAACACCTGATACAGGTTGACTGGGCCAAGTAGCTACCTGGTGAAGCAAGGAATATATAGATATCTATCCAACAGTGTAAGAAAGTGCATACGTCTGACAAACATTGCCCTGGAAAGCAGGAAAGGAAAAAAATAAAAAAAAATGGGACATGTTCAGGCCAAGCCATAATAAAGAACTGTTAAGCGTGGTATGTAATCTCCAAAACATTGACCAGGGAGAGAAGATATATAACATAAGGACAATATTCCATAAGGGAATTTGCCAAGAACATCCAAAAAACCCTGAAGGGGTAAACAGAAAGGGTTTGGTATACAGTAAAACAGGAGAAATGCAAGAGGACATATTTCTTTCTAAGGATCACAGAAAAAACACTTTTTAACTCTTGCAATGCAAACACATTTCAAATTACAAATGGGAGCATAGCATGTAAAAGCAATATGTCCTAATGTGTTCAGAAAGTTCCAGAGTAATGGGGAGCTGGAACCATTCTGAACTAGAAAAAAAACTCTGGGGTAGGAGTACTACACCAAGAGCAGAAGTGGCAAGCAGAACAGGGTGCTTGAAAACAAGTGTTTTAAAATCCAATAAACTTAACAGCAAACTCACTAACCAAGTGATGGTAAACAGCTATGAGTTTTGCGATTAGAGCGGGAAGCAGACTCAAAGTCTTTAGGGAATGGGGACAATAGATAAGGAGAGAGGTCACAGAACCAGAAGTTGGAGGTGTAGGCATTCTATTGTCAAGAAACAGACCTAAAAGACAACTGCCTTCACATGGCATATGCAGGAGACATTCTTTAAATGTATCAAAGAATAAATATATAATATATAAGCATACAAAAGTCACAAAGAACAGAAGTGCAAGGCAAGATGCAATTGTTTTACAAGCTGTAAAACTCTAGTGCCCTGATCAGAATAGAAAGAATCAATCTTATAAGTAGTGGTCCAATCAGACACGGTTCGAAAATTAAGGCTGCTGCCAAAAGGGGACTAAGAGTGTAATACCACTTAGTACAAACTAGGATTTAAGTAGAGATTCTGACTAACCTTTAGTAAAGTCCCTAAAGGTAAAAACATCATTAACAGTAACAATATGGTGTCTATTCAAATCAAGGACTGAAAGGTGCACAGCGGGTAGGAACCATGTATCCAGAAAGTCTGTTTCCATATGAAAAAAACTTTACATTATCCGATGAAGGCCATGAGGAAGTTTCCGGTCTACAATTATTAGTAAGCTTTCCAGATAGGTTTCAAAAAAGGTCTGAGGATCCGAAAAGGCATCAAAAAACAGTATACCTGGATCATCAGGTTGCTCCCTAATGCCCAAGGTAGAGTGCATTGAGTCAATAAAGTTGGGTAGAATACGGTCCATGTGATATTCATCTATAGCATGGTTAAAATACAGCCTGGGTTGAGGTAGACTGAGGGGTTTTTGAATAAATCCGGGGTCTCAAAATACCTCGAGAGGTGAAGGGCTTACAAGGTAAAAACTAGGTTCAGTGAAGCTGTATCGGGGGTGGGGGCCTAAAGCCAATAAACGTGCATAAACTGACAAAAAAAATTATCAGAAGAAATGAGGCCTATAATACACAACCAATATTCCTACTGTTTATAATAAATCACAAATAAATCACATGCAAAAGCCAAAGAAGCAGCCATATTTATAGAGCCATACTCTGAATAAGTCCGGGGTCTCAAAATACCTCGAGAGGTGAAGGGCCTACAAGTTAAAAACAGAAGGAGCATTTAGAGACTGGGTAATACCAGAGGTAGTACCACTGCTCTGAAATTGTGGATTGCTCTGCCACTAACTGACCCAGTAGACAAGGCTTACAAAATGCCATAATGCAGTGCCTAGCACCTGCAGGGCACTCTCGCAATATCTTTGATCAGTGCTCTATGCTGTGAGTTACATCAACGTGCGTAACTTACTGGATAATGGCGTTAGCTCAAGTAAAAGGGGGAAAGGTTTTTTTTAAATATTATTAACCATGACTAGTGTAGGCAAATTCTACTGTTTTAGGGTCACAGCATAGTCATACACGAAGAGGATCCACTTTTCCCGGCCTGGAAAGGAGTTTGTAGTGCACAATCAGTACACTACAGCAGAAGCAGCATTCAGTGAATAAAGGTTGCATATAAAAATAATGTGAGAGTCAGGGCCAGTGCACACCCAGGCGATCTGTGACTGCACGGCAATCGTGCACGATACCGTGCGGTCACAGAGTAGCCCATCCCAGATGATTACGCTGTGGGTGCCATTATTTTTGTAATGGCACCCCAGTAACATCGGGCGGATCGTGCAGAGTGTCATGTATCACAAAAAAAGGGTACAGGGCTGGAAACTATGAAAATGCAGAGTCCAGTGCCCACAGGTCACATTCCAGTATACCTTTGCCCCATCCATGGGCTTACTCAAGGAGTCTTCAGAGAACGGTACACACCGGAGCCTGTGACATGGCTGTGACCCATTAGAACACTCTGTTGCTAACAAACCAGTACACTAGGTATCTGGGGAGTGCCACAAGCAGTGCCCGGTGTCCAAAGGTTTCATTACTGGCAGGCCCTGCTATCCTTATTCCATTGGGGTCTGACTAAGGTCTCCAAAGCAGCGTGGAAGATTAACCAATCCAGATAAATCTTGTACAGAGGCCAGCTTAAAAAGCTCAATAAACATCTTGATTGAAGAAAACACCATCCACGAACTACCAACAATGTAGATGGAAGAGGAAAATATTTTTTACTAGGACGCTAACAAAAAAACTAAGACATGATGGTTGGAGGCCGGTTTAAGGTTTTTTGTTTAGTCAAGGCCCAGACCTCCTGAAGGCAGCAATATAACCCAGTTGTATCGAATTTCTAATGTTCCTGTGTCTTTCACTGGTCGTTAAAGAAAATAATATTAATATTCCAATATTGAAAACAGGCAGGTAACAAAACATTTATTTTCCAAAAACTAGAAACAAAAATAAAATGCAGGCACCTAGAGATGCCTGGATACAACTCTGTACATCCAAGTACTGAAGCCCAAAGTGAATATGAACATTTTTTTATTTCTTTCTCCCCTTTCCTCCTGCACTTCACTTTTGGTCAGTGAGGCCACCCAGTACAGTTGTGGGCCAACAGGGGGATGCAAAAGGAAGCAGGGGCAAGACACATCTCAACTTTACCAGACAAGGCCATATTAACGTGTCCCAGGTTTTGGACTACAGGGGGAGGAGGGTTCAAGTCACAAACTAGCGAGTAACTGACCAAGAATGAGCATGTCACTAGTAAGATCTGAAAACTCAAATCTCCCATACTTTTTTCAGGTCAGCGACTCACTAAATCTGGATCAGGAAGACAGCCCCTGCATCTGTACCTATAAATAGAAGTCAGTAATTGTTGCTCCACCCTTCTTTCATCAAAGCTCCACTTTATAATCTTACTGGAGTAACAAACATACTTTTTTTTTTGCAGTTTTGGCTTCTCTCGAGTGCTGATCACATGAACAACTGCCTAGAAAATTGGTAATGTGATCTTTGTTGGAGGAGAGGCTTTGGAGAGATACTCAAGGGATCCAAAAACAGCATATTCACTTACTAAATGTAAGTACTTTAACACGGTTTTATACATCTTACCAAAACTGTTAACATGAAATCAAGCATCAAGAAAACTGTGGAGTACAGGCAGACGCAATACAACAAAGGCAAATAGCAGTGTCTGCACAAACATTTAGAAAACCTCTTTAGCACCAGTTTTAGCCCCAAATTCTGGACCACTGTATGATTTCAGTTTCAACATATTGTAGTTTATTTCTTTAGTTTCTAGGTTGTAGTAATGAAGGTTGGCCTTTACCTCTCTGCATTGGACAATAATTATGATGGAACAAAAGGAACAAGCCTGAGTCAGAAGGGGATAGGTCAGCCTTCAACACGATCAGGAGTCAAAAAAGGAATTATTAATTGGTGTGGGATTCAGGGCACAGGTATACGTAAGCATCACCAGGGGCCTGCACTGTAATGTTGCAGTCTGTTCAATACTCTTATGGTACTAACAGATTTACTTTACCAATTGAATCTTGGTTATTGAGAACAGCAAAAGACATCCTGCTTATTTGCCATACTGTTTTTGTTTTTCTATTATGGTTCAGCTGGTTGAACTAATAAGCAAGTAAAAAGTCCAATGTTTGTGGCCGAATAATCAATAAACAGATGCAAACACACGGGCCGAGTAAAAAGGCTGATGTTTTAGTGGTGGTAGCATGGTGACTGAATCTGCCTACTTATAAAGTCATTACAAAACAAAATAACCAAATTACCAGATCTGTTAAAAATCTGCCCACCCAACAATTGTGTTATTGGGTCTTTTGAAATACAGCTGCTAATGAAAAGTTATTGTATTTTATTTTTGAAAATACAAATATTTTAGGAAAATACCCAAGCTGCTGTACTTTAACTATAGGAATAGTTATATTGTTCAAAGCTGAAGAATTGTAATTACCAGCTACATGATTTCAGGAATATTAAACATTTCAACACTTTTTCATTTTGGATAGAGCAGGTACACAGTAATGTCCCCATTGTAAAGTATGTCCCTTACTTTGTGTCCTAGCAATGGTGGCAACAGAGACAAGAGAGCAGTTGTGACTACTCTATATCTTGTCACATTGTTGCCTTGAGAAAGGGGCCCTGCAAGGTCCCAAAAAGTTCATATAAACTTGTGACATGAATTCACCAAAAAAAAAGTAAAAAGAATCTTCCGGAGTACTAGTGACTTTCTACATTTTTAGTTTTTGTATTACTCTCTGCATTACTACCGGGATGACTACCTATATATCTGTCCCACAGAGACTAATCAGCAGGAGGGAAAGAGGAAACCCCAACACCTCAAGATAGATATTAATATCTGCCAAGTGTTCTAAACCACACCTATATAACTTAAAAGGTACCAATAGAGAGCATACCATTTTTGACTGTACACTTTTAGCATTCAGAACTAGTTGCTATATGGGAACCAGTGAACCAAGTGGGATTCCAGCTAATTGTTTATGCTGTCCCAAGATAAGGTTGACAATAGCATACATGTCTATGCTTTGAGCTTTTGAAAATTAACTTTTCTGGCTGTCCACTGATTGTTCTCCTTCACTAGACAGGGGTGGTTATCGCTAGACCTGTTGAAACATCTTGAAGGCTTAAAGTGCACCTGTGCCCACACAATGGACATTATTGTTGGCTTCACACCAATGTGCTTCCATTTTCATACATTCTTTCATGCATTTCGCAAAGTAAGGTTTCATGGTTTTATGTGGTTTTTAAAAAAAATATGTGCTCAGCTTTCTGGGGAAGTGTGAGGAGAGCCATTTTCCAGCGGTAGCAAGGCCAGGAGAAAGTCTCAGTAATGATGCATTTTAATGTGCAATCATTAACCTCTATGAGCCTCTGATCAAATGTACCAGCACTATTTTCCACAAAGCATATACGTAAACCAGAGTCCTTAAACACAATGAAATGCCAAGTAACATGCATTTTGATGCTTTGTAATTTCACAACAGAGGCACTGAACTCACAGCTCACCTTCCCTCATTTTCTCTAGCAGCAGGGACCTGGCAATATGCCAATCTTTGATGTAAATAAACAACAGGTGCTATGAGCAGTTAGGCTGATTTTACACTTGTGATCCTGTCACTGGTGAAAACTCGCCAGCAATGGGATCGCTATGCAGGGCAGAGACAGACTCACCTGTTTGCACAGGTCACTCCCTTGCAGGCTAGATGAGCAAGGCAACTCTCTTTAGCTGATGAGTGTCATTCTATAGCTTTTCCATCAATGAGGAAGAATCATCTTGCTCATCAGGCCAGTGACAGAGTGAGGTGTGGAAACAAGTGAGTATTTTGTGACATTAACCTTAGGCTGGGCACACACCTTACAACCATCGCAAGACTTTTGTCTTGCGATGGTTGTAAGGTAATTTAAAAAACGTACGATCTGCCCATCCTGGACAGGCAGATCGTACTTGTGATGATCGCGCACACCGGCCCGTCCGGCTTTTATCTTACGAACATGCTACACACCCGCCGAAAATCATACGATTCTCTGCGGGTTTTCGAACATGTTCGTAAGATAAAAGTCCTGGAGATATTTAACTTCTGTTGCAATAGAATAAGTGACAGGACATTGGATAAGATTGTTTATGCGAACCACTCTGTAAATCACCCTTGAAATCAAAATCAACCATGCTTGGATATACCCTCTGAAAAGATCCCTTTTGTTCTGGAACCATCTGGGTGGAAACCCAGGCCCCTTTAGGAACCCATTGTCATTTTTAAACAACTGCTCCATGACACAAGTTTTTACCAGTAAAAAAAAACCTAATAATGTGGTTCCTGCCACTATCAAGCAGCTTCAGGAGAACAAATGTATTCTAAAACAAAGCAGTGCCAGAAACATCGGCACATTTGCACTGTGCCTGGAAATCACTTCATTGTCAAGGTACTTTTTGAGAAAGGTGAAATAAAATACAGGTTTTAGCACAACATCCAATATCCAACAGGTATTTATAGACCAGGTTTAGACCCAGCCATGCAAAATAGAAAAAAACTTTTACCAAGTAAAACCCTTAACCACTTCATGCCCAAGAAGTTAATGCAAAGCAAAAGTGCTTTAGAAATATGAAAAATGTCTGACCTGCGCCTAACCACCTTTCACGTACGCAGTAGCTGAAGAGATAGGCAATCAAAAGATGTGTCTGTGTTGATTTATCTCACCCTTAATTCACTCAGTGAAGCATCTGGATCCAATAAACTATTCGCATCTCCACTTCCTCTTCGAGACGATGATCCACTGAGAGGAGTAAAGGTTCCTGGCTGTGCAGTAACTGCATTACGAGATGATGGCTTAAAACAAAAAAAGATTTGAAGATGTAACATTATATAGGATTAGAGCTCACTCTGCATCATAGAACATTTACTTTAATAGTTTTTTTTCTCATAAAAAGTTTATATAACATAACACAAATATGTATATTATCTAACGTATTCAGTAAACTAACACTTCCTACAGTGAAAATGTAAAACCCTGACATATAAAGAAACTTTTTGGTGAGAAAGTGTTCAATAATACCGTGTTACCCCGAAAGTAAAAGACCTAGTGTCTTTTTTCGTCGAAAAAAAAAATATAAGACACTGTCTTATTTTCGGGGAAACACGGTATGATCTTTATGACCTATAAACGTACTTCAGTGAGTGCAGATGATGAGAATCAGGGAGGAGCAGAAGGAAACCCTAGGCAATGCTGCAACAGGGTGCAAATGTGCATTTTGTACTCTGTTTTTTTTATAGATAAAGCCCAAAATTGAACAGCATATATTAGTATATAGATCTATAGATTAGTTATTATTAGGGATGTCCCAATACCGATGCTAGCATCGGAATCGGGCCCGATACAGGGCATTTTGACTCTGGGCAGGCTGGGGTCCTCTGGGCAGGCTGGAGGAGCGTCACGTCACTGCTGTGGGCGGAGCTCCAGGTGGGGTCTAATGTAGTTGGCTGGCGACTGCCCAGAGGACTCATGTAGCTCCGCCCACAGCAGTGACGAGACGCTCCTTCGCTCAGCCTCTCAGCGCCGCTGACGTTGTCCTCGCATGAGAAGAAAAAATAATTCGTCGATCGCCGATCAGGCACAGAGCCCGCATGATCATAGGCCAGAGGAATGACAGCTCAAGTGAAGAAATCATTAGTTCTCTATACAGCCGTGTCTTTGTCCAAGCCAAAATGCCCGCCGCCGGCTGGAGACTCAGTCCAGGACAGTTTGCACTCTAGTGTCCAACAAATCGCTTCCATTTACTTACAGTGCAGTCTGTCCTACCCAAAATGGCCACCGCCAGGAGGAGCCCCAGTACAGGAAAGTTTATTCTCTAGTATCTGGGAAATCTCCTTCATTTACTTGGAGTACATTCTGTCCTACCCAAAATGGCTGTCACCTGCCAGAGCCTAAGTTAAGTACAGATTGGCCTCTAGTGTATGGGGAGGTAACCTAGGGGATGGTGGGAGAGAACGGCTGTGTATGAGAGGGAGATAATGGAGGAGCTGAATAGATATAACGCTTTCGGGGTCTCAGAAGTACCCCTTCATCAGGCTCAGAATGAGCCTGATGAAGGGGTACTTCATAGACCCCGAAAGCTCTTGTACTGAATGGCAATTTGTCATTAAAGGACTTTTTGCTGTAAATATTGTGGCGTGCTGGTGACAATTTTTACTACTTCTATATTGCTCATGGTGCCATCCGTGGTCGCTTTGCAGGTTTATTACTTTTCCGGTAAGGCTGGTTTCCTATTATATAACATTGCTGACCTCTGTACTGCGCGTCACAATGCTGACCTCTGCACTGCGCGTCACATTGCTGGCCTCTGCACTGAGCGTCACACAGCTGGCTTCTGTATTCTGTATTGCACCACTGACTTCTGTACTGTGCATTGTTACTGATCTTTATACTCTGCGTCACACCGCTGACCTGGCGGAGTTAAGGCCGGGGCAGGGTAGGGGTTAGGTGGGGCAACTGGTGGCGAGTAACATTTCAGGTCTGGCAAGTGCATGACGGGAAGTACTTGGGCCTGAAAAAGTGGCATCGGGACATCCCTAGTTATTATTATTAATTAAGATATTAAAAAGAAGACCCCTAGTCCCAGCAAGAACTGAATGATAACAAAAAGTCAAATGCAATTTATGCCAGTAGCTTGTGGCCAAGTATATTACATGTCCTGTTTCAACATAGAGAGAAGTCTACATACCCTAGAATAACCTTCAGTGTACTGCTTGTCACTCTTCTCCTCCTACAAGTAGAAAAAAAAAAGCATTGCATTAATAAAAGGTATACAATAATGAACAAACAATAAAATAAAAGGTACTCTGCTGTGGAAGAAAGTTGCTATTTATACAGAAGATTATTTGCAGACTCCGTTTTCATTATTAAATGTTTGTTTTCCTAGTAATACAATTGCTTCTATAGCATTAAGAACTCAATCATCTTTTTAAAATGTTGCCATTTATATACATAGAAAACGTAATACATTCTTGTTAATCAAATCATACCATTGTGATTAAAGAGTACACTAGTTAGAAAAAGCAAACAAGTCAATTCCATTCAAATGTTTCTTCAAAAAAATATACACTGATCAGCCATAATATCATGACCACTCAGAGGTGAAATGAATAACATTGATTATCTCATGACAATGGCACCTGGAAGTAAGTCTGATATATTTAGGCAGCAAGTGAACATTTTGCCCCTGAAGTTAATGTGTTGGAAGCAGAAAGAAAGGGCACGTGTAAGGATTTGAGCGACTTTGACAGAAGTCAGAGACTACAAAACCAGCTCTTGTGGGATGTTCCATGTCCGCGGTGGTCAGGAACTACCAAAAGTGGACCAAGAAAGGAAAATTAGTGAACCAGTGAAAGGGTCATGGGCAAGCAAGGCTCACTCACGCATATGGGGAGCGAAGGCTGGCAAGTGTAGTCCGATCCAAGAGCTACTGTAGCTCAATTGCCCCCTATATCCAAACACTTACCTGTGGTTCATCACCACCCGCTCCAAGAAGATCTGCTGCTTCCCCGAAGTTCCAGATTGTAGAGGAAGGATCCTGAGGGCAGTTAAAGGCTGTTGCACCTGGCTGTCAATTTGCTGTGAGGAGGTGGGCGTACGGGCATGGCCTGTCGGGAAATTAGCCAAGCTGTGTGCATCTACTGGAACAGTAGATGCACACAGCTTGGCTAATTTCCCGGCAAAAATAATGCATGGGTGTCTCCTTTGCAACCTGATAGGCAAAGGAGACACCCATAAAACAGGAGGGGAGGGGCCACAGTATGAAACATTCAAATTATAAATTAAATTGGGCAGCTAAAAACGAAAGAAAAAAGAAAGGTTCATTAAAAAGGAATGGATGCTTATTTAAAAAAAAAAAAACAAGGGTTTAATAACACTTTAATGCTGGTTCTGATAGAAAGATGTCTGAACAAACAGTGCATCTCAGTTTGTTGTGTATGGGGCTGCATAGCCGCAGACTGGTCCGGGTGCCCACGCTGACCCATGTCCACCACCAAAAGCACCTAATAGGCACAGGAACATGGACCATGGAGCAATAGAAGAAGAAGGTGGCCTAGTCTGATAATCACATTTTCTTTTACATCTTGTGGGTGGCCAGGTGCGTGTATGTTGTTTACCTGGGGAAGAGATGGCACCAGGATGCACTATGGGAAGAAGGCAAGCTGGCAGAGGCAATGTGATGCTTTGGGCAATATTCTGCTGGGAAACCGTGGGCCCTGCCATTTTTGTGGCTGTTACTTTGACATATACCACCTACCTAAACATTGTTAGTGACCAAGTACACTCCTTCATGGACATGGTATTCCCTGATGGCAGTGGCCCTTTTCAGCAGGATAATGGGGCCAGCCACACGACAAAAATGGTTGATGAATAGTTTTAGGAACACAACATCGAGTTTAAGGTATTGACTTGGCTTACTTGGCTTCCAAATTCTCCAGATCTCAATCCAATCAAGCATCTGGAAGTGCTGGAAAAACAAGTCCGATCCATGGAGGCCCCACCTTGCAACTTACAAGACTTTAAGAATTTGCTACTGACGGCTTGGTGCCAGGTACCACTGCATACCTTCAGAGGTCTATTGGAGTCCACGCCTCAATGGGTCAGGGCTGTTTTAAGTAATAATTATAAGTAATTTGGATTCCACTTAAAAGCACACATTTTTGAGAACCAAGAATAGCAAACTAAACTGTCACACTTCCCTGTGTGAATGATCCGGCGCCGGGTTTTACCTCCTGTCCGAGCTGCTCGGTTTCCTGCCAATCCACTCTGAACCTCTCCAGTAAAAGTCCAGCTCACTTGTTGCGCACCGTTCGAGCAACGCGCCTTTACACTCAGTCGTACTCCCGGTTTATCGCTTGCCTTTGAAATCCCTGTGGTTTGCTATTACCTACCTTGTTCCCTGTGTGTCTCTGGATTCCCTCTTGCTTCCAGTGAGATCCTGCACGTCCAGCAAGTGGATTGTTATCATCATCTTCTTCAATGAGCCCTTGCAGCTGTGCTTACCTGTGTGTCTGTCCTCTTGTGTGGCTGCCTGTTCCATGCAGCCTCGCCCTTTAGTGTATCCCGGATTGCTGTGTTGTTGCCGCCTCCTCTCACACTATTATTTGGATTGCTACCCTTGTGTCCCTCAGTATCAAGAACCACTGTCTGTGTATAGGCTTCACCCCTGCCTGCTGTTGTATCCAGCACCCCAGTGCTGCAACTAGCCTGTTTCTGTGTGGGCGTGCTAGAGGGCCACAACCTGGAAGGTGTCCAGCAGCCAATCATCCTCACCATTAGAGGCCCTGTCGAACACCTGGCCCTTCTTAGAATCTGCCCCTCTAGTGCGTCCCTGGTAACGCACAGACAACTACTTCCTGTGTTTTTAATGATCTGCATCCCAGACACCATTTTTTGCCGGCTACTTTTAGGCATTTCGTGTGCCCCAGTCGCCGGACCGTGACATAGGCACCGCTAACTGACAGGCAGTCTGATTGTTTGTCTACATTTGTTGTTTATCTGCTTAATAAATGTCCCTCAATGTGCTTTACAAGCTTATAATTGAACTGGTAAAATAGGTATTTAGTATAACTGCTGTGGAAAGCAATAATAGTGATTTATCATTTTGGCCTAGGTTCAATGGCCCACAGGAATACTACTTTCATGGAGTCTCGGTTCTCCCCTTGTGCTCTAAATTTTCTTCAACACCCAAAAACATGCTGGCATATTAGCCAATGTAAAGAAAAAAAAAGTCCAGTATAGACACAAACCTGTAGAAAAGAACTTTACTGCTTTTCTTATTATTACTTATGACTGCACACTACATGCATAACAGTCTGACATTCACATGTAAGAGATAAATACTGTTTTGACATAAACTTACTTTAAGGTACGCATTAAACAAGTTTTAATGTAACATAATAAAGCTATAAACCACATTAATTTTTCCTGCATGCACTAATGTTAAAACTATTTCACAAGGCTCTGTAAGCCATCACCTTAGGCTTGGAACAGTGAAATAAAACCCAATGTTAGCACACTGCCTGGGCACAAAACCATGCATTACAACTCACACTGTTGAGATCAGCAATGCTGACATCATCAGACACTATACTTCCCCTACGATTGGAGCGACTAAAATAATCAGCTGCAGTTTCACTCTGGTCAGAAAAGTCTGATGACTTGAAAACAGAGACAAAAGATATTACTCATTCATCAACCAGCTGCAGAAATGCATGACATCATACTAATTGGAATGAAAAGTTTATTTGCTATCAGTAGAGATATCTCTGTAAAACATTAAAGACATGACATTTTTAGACCGATCAATGTCTAGTTTCCAAATTGGGTTTGCTTAAAATGCTTATGCATTCAACATTATCTGTACCATACACATTTGGAGAAACAAAGCACAAATATTTTGTCATCACCACCCCCTTAGGCTAACAAGTAGTAAAATACAAAGCTATTTAAAGAATAATTGCCAGAAAACCGTACAAACAAAAAATATATAACCCAGCAGATAGGCTGCCATTATGTGCAGATAAAGCTTTTGCTGCTAGATTCAGAACATTGAAAAGGGAAAAAATAAAAAACCATGACAAGTTTGAAGTTTGCCTACATATATTCTTTCCCATTATCGATATAAAAGTAAATGTGTTTTTTTAATAAACGTATTCCCTAAAACATGAAAACATTAGCATGCAGCTGAGCTCACCACACTATCCTTTCGCCCCCGTCCAGCGCTACAAGAGGATATAGAACCCTCATCATCTGTACACTAAAAAGAACAGACACTATTAATTCTCCTTACAAAACATTTCCCGAGAGGACCAGACAACACTTAGAAAGGTTGACATTTTTATTTTGTTTATACTTAAAATCTGTACTGGAATTTTGTCTATTTTCATAGAATTTCTATGGCGGACTTTCAGGTGTGCTTGTTACAGCAATAGGATCATTGCAAAAGAGGGTGCAGGAATGACTGCGGTCAATGAGTGGCTCCTCGTCATCATACCAACTTACTTATTCTAGGCAATGTTAGTGATCACATGCAAACAACGTTTCAGAGACACTAGGGAAACGCTGTCATCAGGCAAAAGTGATGGCCATTTTTTCCTGATTAGGGAGTTCACTTACATAACGAGCCTGAAACGTTGAATTACTTTGGACAAGCAACATGGTATGCGGACGATGAACAAATCAACCAAATATTTTTTATAAATCAGCACATTGGGGTAGCAAAGAATCAAACGCAGCAAAGTATAAAGTTTTTGAACTTTGCCTAAGTTATTATAACTAATTTACCTGGTGTTCCTGTCGTTTCCCTGTTTCTCCACTATAGATCCAGTGTGGGAATGACAACGTTATTGAGCCGCTATTCGAATGGCTCACGACCCTCCCTCCCCACCCTGCTGTATTGTCAGCACCCAGAAGGTGGGCCACAATTCCCTGGGATATCAGTGTGCAACTAAAGGGTATTTTACAGAATATGTGATGTGCTTCCAAGGCATTTTTTGTAGAATCTATAAAGATGGACTTTTAGGTACCCAATCACACCATGTAATATTAAAGTACAAAATGTATTCACACAGCTTTAGGCAGAGCATACATCCTTAAAACACGTTGAGTGACTTTGACACTGATCACCTAATTGGAAAATAGTCTGAATTTCTTGAGATGTATAAGAATTAGAATAGCAAATTGATTAAATGGGGATAATCATTGGTTGAAGCTTGTAAATGCAAAACATATGATATATGACGTACATATGTGACTGTTTTAGATTATGTTTTTAAAGCTGTGTGAATAAAGTTTATACTTTGATATTACATGGAATGTTGTGATTGGGTCCCTTAAAAGTCCATCTTTAAACATTCCACAAAAAACTGGTTTCTTTGGGATATGGAACCCCAGAAGTCAACTGAATAAACCATTTTAGTAAACTGTGTTTCCAAGACAACAGAACACCTTATGCACACAAAAAGCCCTGGGCACTTGGGACGGTTTATGAGCTATGCATGTGTTGTAATTCTTTAGTGATAATTATTTAGGAGCTGGCATTCTGTTGACTTAGAATCTGTCACTTCCGGCAGAGATTCTAGAGACTCTGTTAAACACCCAATAGACGCACTCTATTACATATGTAGCAGAAACTGCCATGCTGAAAACTTAGGCCTTGTTCACACCAAGCGCGCAGCAGGTGCAGAGCAGAGCAGCAGACCGGATCAAAACTGCGTCCAATGTATTCCAAAGGTATTTCTTATTCCAGTTCACATCGCAGTGTGCAGTTCCAGAGCAGGTGAAAAAACTGCAGCAAGCCCTATTTTATCTGCTCTGGGCTGCATGAAAACGCATCAAGAACACATGCAAATGCATGGAACGCACTGAAAGCCCATGTTAAACAAAAAACGGCCCGGAACGCATCAAAAACGCGGCACAACCCACTGCACTGCGTGTGCAGAAACCTGAGCGGATCTGCTCTGCATTTGGTGTGAACAAGGCCTTAATAAAAAAAGGAAAAATGAAGCGATTTTCATTATTTTACACATTGCACCCTACACAGAAATCCAATGAGTGACATCGGTCTGTTTTTTTGAAGGAAGGCTTTACAATTATTTGAAGTCCTTTTCTGAAAATGTAGACATCACTTTTTTTCACATGAGTTTCAGGTCCTGATCAGGTTCGGATCAGCAGACGCGGTGCTATGTGTTTTGCCGCGTTTTTCTTTTTTTGTGCTGGAGGGGGCTGTCAGTATGTTAGCTGTAGTGCAGTGCGTTTGACATGCAGTATTTTTCTGTCATAACCTGAATGGACTGCGCACATGAGAACTGTAGCCCATAAAACACATAGGGATGCATTTTTAGTGCAGGAGCGTACGGATCAGGTCAGCACAGAAAACGGACATGGTGTGAACAGGCCCTAAAGATCATTCAGTGCCCGTAAAATAAACTCAGCCATACACTTTTTTTTGTTATAAAGACATGAGAAATGTGACAAACCATTACAACATTATTTAAATCATCAGAAGCATCATGTGGCTAAATGTGAATGATGCCAGGAATTAGTAAGTAAATCACAAACTTAAATTCTAGAAAATATAAACCATGGTGTTGTATCTGGATTGTTATTGTTACTGGTCATAAAAACAACACATGGCAAGCAGAGCTATCCTGTAAAATGGACGTTGATGCTAAGGGGTGGCACACACAAGAACATGCAGCGGGAGCTCTCACCACAGGACTGCTTTTAGTCGAGCTGGCTCTAGATGAATAGCAGCTATAGTCAGAGGGCTGGTGAAAGAGTGATCACAGAAAAGAAAATCAGAATGTTTTATCAATGCTGCAAAAGAAACTGCACCATCAGCAAATTAAGACTTACAGTTCGAGAACTGTACAAATTAGAAAAGCCATCCTCATAGAGTGATGTCTAAGAAACGAAACAGAGTAATAGAGTCAAATTTCTTTTTATCCACTTCTAGGCATTGTCTGAAAGTGTGTGGTACATACCCCATACTGTCATGCAGCCATAGCAGCTAAAATCATGCAGCACCTTGACTATGCTTACATTAAAATCTAATGTTTAGCCTGTTTAAATTTGCCTTTCCAGGTCAATTCCCCCCTCTATTCTTTATACATTGAAGGCAGATCATGGCTGGGGGGATGGGCTGGTAGGGTGCTGTACATAGCTTCCTAAAAATATAACAGCACCATGCCTCAGTACTCTTTTCCAGATCCCTCGGCTCTGGGGGGGGGGGGTTATGCAAAAATCAAAATGCCTTATGGGTGGATGTCAGCCTAGAGGTGTGTGTGTTTCCAAGCAGACAGCATTTGTATGGAGAATGCCCTATGTAATTCCACGTGTGATGCTGAGCCTCCAGGAGTGAAAGAACTGAAATGCAATGAATGAGCCAGGGACAGTAACGCTGGAAAGGAAAAGTCTAGATGATGCTGGCTGTCCTCCAGCCAGATAATGAGGACTATCAGAGAGCTTCTAATGCACATTGTGAAAGCTCAAAGTGTGCTGCGGAATCAGACTGAGCCATTTTAGTACAGGAGAGGAGCCTGTACAATGGCACAAGACTGGAGTGCAGCTTTAATCTATCCAGCTACTTGACTATCACATAAGCACAGGCACCCATTCATAAAGAACTGGTAAATATTTTCCATTTATAAAAGTCTAGTTATCTAAGAACACATTTCAAATCAATTTTGTTGAAAACACAATGAGGGTTCACAGGTAAGGATCGGGTTTGTAACCAGCCATACTTCTGCTCAACCAAGAAAGCTTTTCTTTAAGTCTTCATGCACATACATCCAAAAAAGTGTAATAAGCATGTTTAAAAGCAAAGTAGTAGAAAAGCTATATCCAACGTAACTGGACTATTAGTATAAAAAGAAGCCAATACTTTTTTTGTGCCTTTACTCTAAACGGGAGACTGCAAATACTAACCGAACTTGAACTTCGGGGCAAAGTAATGCTTAACTTTGGAGAAGTCTGTGAAAAAATATGGAGTATTTAGAGTTTCTAATAAACTGTCAATCAAGTTTACTTTCATATAATTAGTGTGCTGCTCATGGTACAATGACACTGAACAGATCTCTTTACAAGATCCGAATCCGCAGTTTGGTGAGCTTGTCGACACAGTCTTCACTTCAATGTAGAATCTTTTAAGCACATGAAGCATATGAAAGTGATTGCTCTCAGTTTACAGTAGATAGAGCACAACCAATATTGTGAAACAGACCAAGAGCTTCAAAGGCTGCAGATCACCATAAAACGGTAACAAAACTAGGGAGCACATTTTTTGACAGACACGCACACATACACGTCTTGTCTCCATCCAGTGCAGATAAAAAGACCAGCTACTTTGTACTAACCCTGTAGCTTCTAGTAGTGGCTGAGGGCTCGCTGTAGATAGAAGAGGACTATTGGGAAAAAGAAATACTTAAGCAAACAAATTAAAACCTTCACAGATATACTCAAGCACAACGTCATCAACAGCAGGCCCACTATTGTGAAATTGCATGCAAAACATCACGGTGAAAAACATTTCTTGCTTGCCTTTTTGCTAATAATAACCCACTTTAAAACTTGTAGAATTGTAACCAGTGAATATGCTCATAATAAATGTAAAGAAAAGCTCAAAAAATCTAAGTCATACAAAAATATAATAATAGCTGTTATTTTAACTCTTGTTCACACCAATCAGCATGCTACAATGGGTACAGGCAGCTGTCTGTTGCGTAGTGGTGGAACATTGTGTTGTTACAACAGAAGGCTCAGTTGTTTTTTTACTTTATTAAAGTGTCAGAAAATTACATTTGATTCATTTTGATGGTGTGAACGAGCTCTAAACATTGATCAAAACACATACATGTTGTGAAATTCTCAGATCTATGAAACGGTTCCACAGCAATCACAGTATTTCCTGTTTAGAGTCAGCTGGCTGCAGAAGTTTCCTCCTACTTCAACATCTGCAGGCCTTGTATGGCAACGTTACATACTATTGTGTGTATGCTTACATCTAATAGCTTCATTTGACATGCCAGCACAATTGCTTTACAGTTAACCCCAGCTAGTAAGCATTTTACAACATGCAGAATAGAAGAACTGTGAGGCAATGTTTAACAGACCCGAGTGAGGTAGCTGGAAGTGGGTTTGCTATATTTAAGACTGCTATAGTTTCGCTGATCGTGATAAAGTCCACTCTGTAAGATGTAAAAGAAAAACACACATTTTGACTAAAATGCAGGTAGGTTTCCTATAAAGCAGAGTCATCAATGTGTGTGACTAGATATTACAGGAACGAAATATAAAACAATAACCAGGACTTTCTAGACTCAAGAACTATATGGCCACATTCACAAAGATGTTTTTAACAGGTTTTAAGACATTGTACATAAATATCTACAAAACAAAACTTGGAGAACTCATTAAGAGCACAAATCCACCCAAAACTAAGCTGATAACTGATAAGCTAGTCCCTGGTTTAAATTCAACAGTGGGTTGCATCAGGCATATTGTAATATTGATCTCGGACCAGAAGGCAACATTTTTTAATCAACTTTCAGTGTTACTACCCTGCAGTCATTGCAAAGACGATTTGCCAGACTTGCCGGAAGGCAAAATAAAAGTGTAAATGCAAAATTTAGGGGCATAAGTGTGGGACCTCTAATCAAGAGCTCTAATCATTTTAGAGCAGGGGGGGCCTGTCAAGATGGACCTAGGTTCCCTAACCAAAGCTTCTGACCTCACAGTTAAGGCCTGAAACACTGCCATGGTTGCAACGGTAGGTTGAATAGCAGGGCCTGCCAAGCCAAATAAGGCCTAAAAGAGGCGTGCTAACCATTTTTCCATGCAGTTCTTCTCTAAAAGAATTGCAAATGTCTTGTTCAAACAAGAAATAGCTGGGTCTACAAAAGAGATAGCTCATTGCTTAAGGAAACCCTCTTCAATAGGGTATTACTGACCATGGGGGGCTCAAACTGTAAACCATCACTCACTGAATCCACAAGGACAAAAAAAAAAAGTGTCAGACTGTGAGTTCACAGAACCTGTCACCCATATCTCCCTGTGTCTATGATCTGCCATTGCCTGAGAGGGAACACCAGTGCTCCCTACTATGGAGGTCAAGTGTACCAGTAGTGTCCTAGCACTGTAGGCAGGAATGGTGACCAATGCAGCGTTTTAAAGAGATCTGGACTCCTTTGCTGATACGCAGAGTCATAGTAGCAGCTTGTAGCTGTATAAAATGGACCCTGGCCCTGGACCTATAAAGCACCCTGTGGCAACTACACATGCAGCACAAATGCCAAGGTGAATGCAACATTTAGAGAAAACCTGCTTGAAGAGTCTTTAGAGCAAAATGCAGAAAACGAAACTAATGTACTTCTCTCAGAACAGAGAGAAGGCATCCATCACTTACGGACACTGGAAAAAAACTGGATCAGAGTGGGAGGGGTTTTACAGAGCCATCCTGACAGCTTTTATTTGTCAGTATCTAAACACCTGAAAGTATCTGCATATCTCATCCATTCAAGAATTAACTCTGCCCTGTGATGTACAAAAGTGGGAAATATTAATTTTCAGTAGAGCTCACCCTAAGGCACTAATAAACATTACATGTCTATCAGCTAATGCCACACACACTTTCATAAGGTTAACAACCATACAAGACAAATCAAAGTGCCTGTATGGTTTGATCCAAAAGAAACAAACACAGAGAATAAAGGGCAATAACTTAGATATTCTTTCCAGTGTTTATAAATAGGTCCCTTAGTCTACATCAGGGGTGCCCATTAGGTAGATCGCGATCTACCAGTAGATCGCAAAGCGAAAACTGGTAGATCGCGATCGGCTCACTGACCTGTGTCCTGTCCTGCGGTGCTCGCGCGACTGAATGTGTCAGACGCTGCAGACGGGAAGGAGAGAGGAGAGGAGACTTGGGAAGCTGCTGCAGTGGAGGTAAGAAAAGACACACAGGAGAGAGACAGCAAAGAAAGTGAGAGAAGAGACAGCAGATAGAAACAGGGCAGAGAGAGATTGGGCGAGGAGAGAGAGAAGAGAGGGCCGGTTCACACCACAAAGTCTGCATTCCAGAGTGTTCGGCCTCTAGAAACGCATTGGAACGCAAGCCGGCCGGCTCCCTGTGTTCAGGGGCGGGAGGGGGTGTGTCTGTGCATTGAAGTTAATGGCACCACAGCCATGCCCCCCGCCCTCAGTGTTATCGCCCGTACCCAGAACGCAGGCACATTAATGCCAGCGCGATCTACAAAAATATGCAAAAATGCATCATTTTTTCAAATCGCACTGGACCGGAATGCAGGCCTGCATTCCTGGTGCGGCGATTGCACTGGGGGCGTGGCTGCGGTTACACCAGCCCACACCCCCCTCCTGCCCCTGAATGCAGACGAAAAATTGTGGGCGCCTGTGGTCTACATCAATTCTTTTTGATATGTTACAAGTCATTGAACAGCAATGAACTTGGTTAGAAAGTAGCAAGGGACAAATAAATAGTGTTCCTCTCCTGAGGCCAGGTTCACACCTGGGCGATCCGTGACAGCACTGCAATCGTGCATGAAACCGTGTAGATTGTAGCGCGGTCACAGAATTGTGCACCACCGCTGATCGGGCTGGCGGTGCCATCATTTTCTAATGGCACCCCAGCCGCCCCAGGCAGATTGCGCAGTTTTCCACCGTGATACTACCCATGCAATCGTGCACGATCGCGGTTTAAAAAACCTGTGCGGTGCGTGTCGCCAAAAAAGGTACATGTACCCTTTTTCAGTGATCACCGACTGGATGTAACCCCACTGAAATCAATTGGGCCACGCGGCAACTGCTGTGTGCACACGCACATGATCGCACAGTCCCGGGACACGTGTCCCGTGATCGCAGAAGTCTGCACCAGCCCTCAATCATTCTGCAGAGGTGGTTTTATTAACCCAAGGTGAGAAGAAAGTATGTCAATGTCCAGCATACAGTCCTAAAGATGGCAATTCATGGAATTAATGCTGCAGTAAGCTTTATTTCAGTGTGTTGAAATACAAGAAAAAAAACAAAACATGCTGATATATATGACCGAAGGATTATTTTGGTACCAACCAGTAATTCTTTATGAGAAGAAGAGGATTTATTCTTGCTTCCATAAGAGTTGTAGGTATGATTCTAAAAAATACAAATATTTTTCGAATGCACCATATAATAAAACAAGTTAGTAAAAATATCTCCTAGGAGATGTTTTCAAAAAAGACACACTCATTTTTAAAAAGGGCACTACTAAAATCACTAATTATTAACAGGTTAAGTAAGGGTTATCAAAGTTCAGAATAACCACACTTACAAACAAGTGAGTTAGTGGCAAGTTTTTTTTATTTTAATGTAAAACAATCCACTCCACAGTAACACTTGTAAAAGTGTGATCACACCATGCACAGAATGTCTTTTTACATACAGAGTGCACGCTTCTCCTGGATGAATCCTTCAGCGAGTCGTACTGACAATTATATAGCAAAAATAAAAATTAGAAGCATAATAAAAGAGAATACATAAGGAAACCCTATAATATATAGATGCATCAATAAAAGTAAAACGCAGAGTGTTGGGTTGATCTCAGAGGATGTTTAGGGACACTTTTTTCGGTTCTTCATTGATGGTATATACTCAAAATAACTATGCAAATTGTTACGTAAAAATAACACTTTTAGTCAGACAATGAAATTGTTCCAGGATTTTAGCGAGTTCAAATGGAAACTTGTCTATCAGCAGTTAACTGCTAGGCTATCAAAAGTATAAATGTGTTCTCTATTTCCAGTATTTTTTGCCTCCTTTAATAATAAACGTCTGGCTCCATTTACCAGACTGTCAACCTCAAACTGAAGTTCTGAACATACAGTAAGGGTGCTGTTTGTTCTATCCATGACATTAGCTCACTCTGGCCAACTGATTAGAAATTAGAACAGGCAAAGGAAGATATGGTAAGAGATCCAGATTTATAATTATAATAAATGTAAACATACAAAAGTATGTTTGTACTATACACAGCAGCCGCATAAGCCTGCTCTAGCAAACTGATCAGAAATGCAAACGAGCCAGGGATAATAAAATATATTGCAAAACAAGGCACCTTACATATTTACAATAATGAAGTAAACATCGAAAAGAATGTCTAAACTAAGCAACGTTTACAGCTCGAATTATACAGCCCAACAAAAATGTTTTGTTTGTATTATCAGATATGATAATGATTTATCCCCTAAACTGAGGCAGGGGAAGAGAGCTGTAAAAGCAGTGTGCTGATGGAAGCAATGGACATTATCAATATAACGTTGTGTCTGGCAATGTTAGTGAGCCTGTGTACTGACATTTAATCCCGTGTATATGTACACAGCATTTAAAGCCAGAGATCAAACTTGTTTAATGTTAATCTGCAACAACTAAAACATACTTGCATCTACACCAACACACAATGAAGCTGGCATAGATCACCGACTGGCCAGAGCAGGAAACCCAAAACACGACACACCCTGCTATCCGTCATCCACCAGAAGCAAATGGATATGAGTAAGCACTGGCACAAAGCCGCACATGATCAACCTCATGAGTCAGTAAAAAGGCTTCAATTATAGCTTTAATTCAATGGGTCACCCCCCTCTCCTAATTTTTCTCATGAGCTATGTCTATTTAACAAAAAAAAAAAAAAATGTTTTCTCTATGCAGTCTCTATAGTCTGAAGCATATTACTTTACAGTAGCTGTGTTCAGTAAGTCAGCAAAATGTATCCATACATTAAAGTCCTGTAGAAGTATTTATGTGAACAGCAGTTTAGGGTTTTTTTATGTCATCAAAGGACAATTTTCATTCAAATAAGGGCTAGTTGCCATTATTATTTGGGTATATTGAAAGAGACATATATACCGTACTACATGATGTATGTCACTGTTTCTGCAGTCCTCAAGTAGCCCAAAAGGTTTGTTAACTGGACAAAAGTTGCAGATAAACTCTGTCACCTGAAAAAGTATTGCCCCCTAGAAAAAGAGCTAATAATTGCCTATGACACCGTTTTGGGGGGCATCAGAAACCTGGTCCCCCCACTGTGGTTCCTCTTGCTGGCTACTACATCACTAAATTCTAATGACTTAGTAGGTGGGAGGAACGACAGCGCTCAGCAAGGGACCTGATATCAACGCAGTTGGTAGGTGTCAAAGGCTGGTGTTTCTTTATTTGCTGTAACTCAAAGTGAGTAGTACTCGATGTCCATCAGAGATGTATTAAAAGTCTTCTTTTGCAGGGGCCATTGTTTATGGGGTTTTTTGTTTGTTTATTTATATTTTTGCAGGCAACAGAGTCACTTTAAAAAGATTCCATACATATTAGTTAAAAAACCTTTACGGTGAATTAGAATAACTTCAGCAGAAACAAGTTTATTATGGATCGGGCTCTCCTGTTAAAAAATTCCCCAAAAAACCCACCACTACAACATTAGTGTTAGAGTAGAAATCTGGACAACTAAAAGTCTACATTTAACCGACTCCCTTTCTCTTACCACATTTATTTTATTTTTTTCAGGTTTAGGCACATCTTAGAATTTATGCATGGCGTTTCCTGGTGTCACTTTAAGGGCCGGTTCACACCATAACCAGTGTGTTCCGCCACAGTTCGTGCCCGAAACGCACTGGCATGCATAAACCAAGCCTCCTGCGTTGTGAGGCGTGAGGGGGCATGGTGGTTCCATTCTTGTCAATGGCACCGCAGGCACCTCCCACCCGCAGTGTGATCACCTGCACCAGAACTCTTGGTACAGCAATGTCCTATGTTCCAGCACGATTGCAAAAAATAATGCTTGCACTATTTTTTGAGTCCAGAGAAGCTGATTGGTTGCCATGGGCAACTGCTCCAGATTCTGTCTGCTCCAGTTTTAATAAATTACTGCCACTGTATATGGTGTCAACCAGCCCTTACGCTTCATGCACACTACATTGAAAAAATATCAGTACAGGCACATTTGGAGCTAATTTCTAAACACACCTGTACTTACGTAATGCTTTTCTATGACTGACTGTACAAGACATTCAGCAGCGTCTCCGTTCATTCAGTCCCAGGTCTGCTCAGCCCGGTTTTATGCAGCTGAACGCAACTATGCCCAGCAACAACAAAACACAAGAAAAATTGATCTGGGAAGCATAAAGTGCTTATACTTACCAGATAACGCCTCTTGTGTTTAAATGCAGCCAGCTAGTGTGCATGAGACCTAAATCGAAGATAAGACTCATCTATTTGTCCTCTCTTCTCAGAGTTCCACTATATATAACTAAAAACTGAGGGCTTTTTCACACCAAGCGCGTTCCAGGAGCAGAGCAGTTACAGAACGGATCAAAACTGCGTCCAATGTATTCCAATGGTATTTTGGGCTCTAGTTCACACAGCAGCGTTCAGTTCCAGAGCATGTAAAAAAACTGCAGCAAGCCCTATTTTACATGCTCTGAAATGCATGCAAACACGCATGCAAATGCCCTGGAACGCACTGAAAGCCCATTCCAAACTTTTTTTTTTTACCAAAAACGGCCCGGAACGCATCACAAACGCAGTATAACACACTGCACTACGTGTGCAGAAACTCACGCAGATCTGGTCTGAATTTGGTGTGTACAAGCCCTTAGCCAATATAATACTACCAACAAAAATGACAAGCACAGCATGTCAAAAATGTTTTTTAAATTTGGTGAATGCAGTTAGTTTAGGTATGACGTGCTAAATAAATTGCCTATATTTCACATGAAATGGCACTCTAGGCTGGTACATACATCTGTTCCTTGTCTGCTTGACTTGGATGTTTTATCTTTCAAAATGTCCAACTTCATACGAAGAGAAAGAAAAGGTGTAGAAAATGGTTTCAAAGAAAAAAGAAAAAAAATAGAAAACAATTTTGGACATACGTATGCAATACACACAAAATCCCACTCCAACCAAATCCATATTGTTTCACATATGTTATTAAAATAAAATAATAAAAAAAAGACAAGCAGGAGTTACCATTCAAGCGTGCCTAACACCAAAATCTGAGCACCCAAAGTCTGTGGTAATGTTAGGTTATTTTTTTTTTCCATTATAAAAAGTTGTTGTCGGTATTGAAGGTAGCCGACATAAATGTTTTACTGCTGCATAATCGGCAATCAACTTTATTTCTCCAAATGTCATTTACAGGTGTTAAGAATCATATATTAGTTTTGAACCACATACACAATAGAATGAATCGAGGAAAAAGTGCACACAATTGTCTTCTTTAGTATAACCCACAAAAGTGCATTGACAGTATATGAACCATCAAGCATTTTCAGTGCAGCATGCTACAGTTGACTTTCAATAAAAGCACACTAAAATAAATGACCATTACCTTTCTCTAAGAAAAAAGCCAGTAAAAATGGGATTTTAAATTTTGACCACCACAGTCATTCATTAAAGCATGCATGGACACAAAACCATCTACAAAAAATGTTAGTTTTTGCTTAACATGCTTGCTACAAGTACACACCACAAGGTCTCTCCGCCTGGAAGTGCTTTCTCTCCCTTTATGTGAGGCACTGATATCCAACGATGAGCTCTTAAGAATTAACAAATATTTCAGTTTACAACATCAATACAAAAATGCCTCATATCCACAATATATGTTACCTAAAATTACAGTAGCAACACAGCACGGTATGTAATAACAGGTACTTGAGTATTTCGTGGGGACCGATTTGTGTATCCAAATTTTGACTACCCCTGTACCCCGCTTGGCTCTGCCTCCTCCCACAACCTGATCTTCCTTGTGGGTCTTTTATTGTGATAAGCAGTCTCCAAGACCACAACCAGGTGGAAATATTTACCGATCCTTCCCTGTGAAGAACAAACACTGAGTGAACAGTAGTGATCACTATGAGAGTTGCAGGACAATCAGCAAATATGTGAAATATCTGCTCATCGTTCCCTGTAATATTCAAACATCGCAGTGATCAATACTGATCACTACGATTTTTGTAAAAAAATTAGGACATAGTATTCAGATACTGTGTCCCCAATCATGAAAGAACAGGAAGTGCTCTACACCACTTCCTGTTCATTCATGACTGTAGTACCATCGCCTCAATTTATGATAAAAAACAGGAATCCTCTGTACTGTGCTTCCTGTTCATTGAGTGGTGGGGCTGCAGAAAAAGGGATTAAGGACTTGTGTCCTCAATTTCTTTCTTTATTTCAAAAAGAACATATTAGGGGTCTGTTTGGACCCCTGATATTTCCCCAAAGCACCTAGCAGTAAAGAAAAAAACTAAAATACATTTTAAAAATAGTTTAAAAAAAAGAAAAACAATAACATTATTTTGTTAATTTTGTGAGGACATCACTCCTCTGGTCTTATGACAGTGCTTGGCCCTAATAACTGCTGTCAGGAACAGTTACTAGGGAGCAGGTCACAAGCTCCTCCATAGCTGGGAGCGCCAGGTATTCTCGCCAGCTGCAGAGCAGCAAGGAGCCGAGAGGGAGCATAGGCAAGCTGAGTGAAGTAGCGGGTGGGGCCTTTCCACACACACTGTCAACTCTCCCAGCATGGGCAAGGTCTCAATATACAGTCATTCCTTTAATGTACAAAATTACATATTGTAAAATGATGCCTGGAGTGTAAATGTGTGTCTTGTTTCCTCATTTTTCTGCCAGGGCTTGTCCTATGGGCCAGCTAAGGCAGTCTTGGCTGTCAATGCATTCCATTTTCCACAGAAAGGTAGCTGGAATGCTTATTATAGATATTGCACCCCATAAAGTCACAAACCGGTTGTGCTGAAAAAGCCTGGAAGAGGCTGTAATGATGCATAAATGGTAATGATGCATCAAATAAGTCGCCAATAAACAAAAAAAAAAGAGATTTTCTGGTCAAATTATCTTATACATGTGCAGTAAATAAAAGGACGTTTACTAACCCTATGAGTTTCAAGACCTCTGCTAGTAGTAAACCCTGAAGACTCCTTAAAAGAATAGAATTATGAAGAAAGACGATAAGTGTTGGAAGAAGTCAACAGCGAAAACCTAAGATGACAAAACGGTACAAACCAGATATGGACGATGACTGGACCGGTGAGAGTACCTGGCCCGGTCAGAATCCTCCTGAGATGAAACATAGTACATTAAAGTATTATTCATTATAAAGAGGCAAAACTGAAAACATTCTTTCAAAACCAACTACGCACACTTCCACAAGCAAAAGGACAGTGAGTTAGTTAAAAAACCTTCAAGGTCAATGCACAAGTGTGCTTGATGCCTATAGCAACCAACCAGAATCTATGTTTCATTTTTAAAGACTGAAATATAGAGATACATATTGATAGTGGATTTGTTTCTATAGGCCAACTAAAAATCTTTTTGTTAGTAAAGTTTTTATACAAAGGCACTCAGGTGTAAACTACTCAGTAACAGCTCAACAAAAATGCAGGTACATTGAATTGTTAAATAGATTTGGTATGACAGTTGGATGATTGGGTCATACGCGACACTTTTTTATATAATACAGTTTATCAAATGTTTTTGCATTTGAGTGATCACTGTAGACAGTGATTTCTGTCTACATGTACGCCCTCCAGCATCAGCTGCAGATTATTGTTCTAGACCTGCCTCCTATTTGTGACAATGGTGGATTATTCCTTCACAATGAGTGTAGTCTCCATAATGAGCACTGTTACAAGATGACAATGCAGCTGGAACTGGGACAGTTGTCCCCCCGTCCGTTCCGCCAGTGAGCGCTGGCGGATCGGAGCGGGGAGGGGGGAATCCAGCCCCTCCCCTGTCACGGCTCTCTGATCGAGAGGTGAGCGAACGACGGTATCTGTTCGCTCACCTCCGGATCTACTGAGCCAACCTGTGACAGTCTCATTGTCACAGGTCGGCTAGAACTATGAGGTGAGTGGAAATCACTCATCTCATAGTTCTCCTTTAAAATTGCGAAGTCAAAAAGCACTTAACAACAACAGGGAACTTTTCGGATGATTCGCTACAGCTATAAAGGTATAATGGGGTAATTGCGCTAAACAGACCTTGGAATAATTTCAAATAGTTAGATAGACTGTAATAATAATATTTTCCCTTCTACATCTTCTTCCAGGCCAGCAAGAACAGGCCTCTTGGCTGCCTTTCAACAATGGGATTCTATGATGCTCATTTTCATATTGTTCTGCAGCCAAGAACTTAAGATTAGAACACTACAAAAGTTCACACTGTTACAGTGTGTTCCAACATAAAACAATTACAGCTTTACAGCGCTGCGCATTAAATTCCGACATCTCCAACATTATAAATATATATTCAGAACATAAATAGCCAACAAAATACCAACTAATAATAATGTCTAAAAGCTATCTAGTGAAACACCTAAAATAGGGTTGGACTTATGAAGGGAGCCTGGCAGGGGATGCTCCTAAAACTATTACAGCCCACAGACCTCCGGGCAGAATAACACTTAACCCTTGCAGTGGGGCTACCTCCGGCGGTGGAATGTCCCTCAGCGCACTCCTCTCTAATAAACTGTATTAGATATATTGACTCACAAATCTTTAGACCACTGGAGAGGAAGGGGAAAGAGGCTGCGGGGACAAATCTAGCATCCAGGGGGGACCGAGGTTCAGGTAATTATCTCTTTGTTATTCCAGACCCTAGATGAAAATGAGCGCTTAACCCTTGCAGTGCAGGGGTAGGCCCACTGTAAGGGTTAAGTTATATTCTGCCAAGAGTTCTTCTTAAATTCTCACTAATGCTTTCAAAGCAAGTGGCAAGTGCACGTCATCCCCTGATGGCTGATAAATACTTAGTGGATTTGTACCTAAAATTTAGCTTCTAAATCCAATTTCTGAACTTAGGAATCACCTCTGATTACAGCAGATTTTTGCAGTCTACTCGCCTTACTGTACAGTCTCCCTACAAGACATCTTCCTTAGCACCTAGTGCAATAGTTCTTACTACATGGTTTGCAGGACCAAAAACTAAAAGCCTTATGTTTCCTGAAGTGTCGTTGAAATCTAAAGTAACCCCAAGATCCTATCCCACACTTCATAAACTTAGTGCTGAACTCTTAAAGGAGAACTATGGGGTCAGTGTTTTTCCCCATAGTTCTCCTTAGGGTAACGGGAGGACACAAACTAGCGTCCTCCCGTTACCCTAAGCTCAGTATACCGTGAGCTACAGCTCGCGGTATACTGAGACGCCGCAGCCGGAGCGGATCCCGACCTGGACGTCGGGATCCGCCCAGCTGCGTGAGTGACAGCTGGCTGCCTATCTAGAGGCAGAGCCAGCTGTACTCGCCCCCTCCCCCGTCCGTTCTGCCAGTCAGCGCTGGCAGATCGGAGCGGGGAGAGGGGAATCCAGCCCCTCCCCCTGTCACGGCAGAGAGCTGTGACAGGATCGAAAGGTGAGCGAACCCGGTATGTGTTCGCTCACCTCCCGATCTACTGAGCCGACCTGTGACAGTCTCATTGTAACAGGTCGGCTAGAACTATGAGGTGAGTGGAAATCACTCATCTCATAGTTGTACTTTAACATCCCACCAACATTTAAACCCTAACCTTATCACTTAACCCTTATCCTAAACATTAACCAGTTAGAATAAATGCCCCCTTCTCCCAGGCCCTAACACTCTTCCAGGCCCTAAACTCATCACCTAAACTAAAAGTAACCCCCTTCTGCAAAATATTAACCATACACTGCACCAAAGCAATACTAAAGAACAATAATAGTCTCATGCTGAAAACAGAGCCGATACTCTGGCATCAAAAAAATACTGATGCAGCCTCTCTATAAAAATGATTCACAAAATAGCACTGCATGCAGAAGGCAACTTTTAATTAACAAAGAGTAAAAAAAAATATATACATATTTAAATACACATTAAATATACAACATAGATATTTTTAAACAGAGCTATAAAGTTTATATTTATCCATGTGTATTGCTGTTGAAACACCCTGGTAAGTATTTAGCAGGTCTGTTAGTGGTTCACATCAATTCACCCTGTTAGGTGGTTTTATAAGCAACACATGCATAACTGACACTCTTGTGCCTACCATCCATTTTTGGATATGTCCCCATTTTCTATCATGGTAGCGTTGGGTGTGCTAGAAACAGGCAAGACTTACAGGTCAAGAAGGATAGAACAAACATGTGAATTACGAAGTTATACAGGTGTATGACTGAAAGCAAAACATATATTCCAGAGTTACAATACAGAACAAAATCAGCATGTTGCAGTATGACTGTTGCTCATAGGAGTATGAAATGTGAATTGTGCAGTACCGTGCGATTAACGCACGGAGATGGTGTGAACGGGCTCTAAGACCATTCCCTGGAGTCTCTCCTTCCTCCGCTGCAGCGGTCTAAGGATCTTTGAGTCATCACGTTCTATACAGTTTATAGAACGTGGGGACGCCGAGGGACATACCATCACTGCAGTGGAGGAGGAATCAGGCTTCAAGGATTTGCTATCTGCTCCAGTTTTGAGAAATCTCCCCCATTTTGTTATTTTTTTAACAAAACATGTATGCGTTTTCGAACACATTGGAGTGAACAGGCCCTTAAGAAGCAGAAATCTAAATTCTTCTACAAGTGCATGACTGTTATAGCTATAGAAACCACAGTTGTTTTTTAATTTTCACACAAAGCCATTGTGCTGCCATTGGGGTTAAAGGCATATTTAACTATTGTAAAAAAAATTATAACTTGCAGAAAGAAAAAATGTGCATTTATAATATTTTGCATTGGAGTCTGCAAAGCATTGCAACAACGATCAGTGCATTGCGAGAGCAATGTTTAGGCTCCTGCAGACTATTCCTCTAGCCACAGGTTTGTACCGAGTCATAGACTTTCAGTTATAGAGCTGGAGGATGTAATCACTTGACTACAAATGTGGAGAGTCCCTCTGCCATCATTTTCTCATTCACAGACCCTGTGAATGGATGACACAGCCGTGCTGAAATAAAAAATATTCAGAATGCTGTGGGGAGAAGAACTGACTCAGTTAAAAAGGGTGGGGGTTGTTTGAGTGTGGGGGCAGCAGAATGGCTCCATGCTCTGTGTTATACCCTAATTATGGGTGTCACATGGTATACAGGTAGAAATAGCCTTTAAGCTATGTCAGATAAGATACAAATGGGGATTGAGGTCATATCTTGAATCATTTCTATGCTCTCTGCTGTGTGGAATGTGAGGCGTTTGTAATTTCAAGTCTAATCATATATAACATCCTAGGTACACTTTATACCAATGTGTAGGACTGATATTTTTTTGCCGGGAACATTTAGAGGCCCATCTTTTATAGCTTTTAAATCACTGACGTTAAAAAGCCTCATAAAAAGAAACAGCAATGCCCTTTAACATTAATAATAGGGAAGCAAGCTTTAGAATAACATGTATTAAAAATCAGAGCCATCTTATAATTCAAGGATGTCATTACTTTTAACTATGGCTGTTCTGTCTGCATCTGAGGGAAAGCAGCTCAAATCCTTGGCTGGACAGGACTCAAACATTCTTCCTCACATACAGATTATTCTGCAGATATGTATTGCCCTGAAGATCAAATTCCTTTGTGATGACATGCAAGAGTTCTTGTCATAGTAAACATGGGTGGAGAAAGATTTCAATGAAGTGAGCTTCCGCTTTAGAGGTGTAAGTGACACACCTATTGCCAAGTCAAAGTCTGTCTAAAGTAAGACTTTTACCTATGTTCATTTTCCCAGACAGTACATAACAATGAAGCTTATAATGATAAAGGAAAGCTAAAAGTTGTGATATACCACCAACATTTCTTCGTACATTACATCTTCTACATCAACCAGAAACTGATGTGGGTGCATTCTGCAGGGAAAGCCGACTACACTGCATAGCAGACCAAATTGTCAGTGAACGTTACCATCAAAGTAAGCCTTACTAATTTAAGGCTTAACAGAAATAAACAAGATGAGAGACTGAAGGCTTAGCACTCGAGAAAGGGAACACTTATTCATATACATAGAATATTACAGCATATGAATCAGAAGTGACATTTACAGCTCAAACATAAAACCTGCAGCTATAAACAATCAGATGTTTAACATGCCTTGGGGAACGCACACTGTCATTTTTGCTATTTTGGACATTTCCACATTAACTGCACATTACACAATCTATGGTAGTACTTTCCAGAGGTATTTAGGACGTAAACCTCACAAAACTTAGACTGACCCAACTACAAACAAAGAAGCCATTTCAAATATTTGCTTTTTACAAACATAATATGGGTCCCCAATAAAGCAACTAGAGCAATAGAAGACTATCAAAAAGAATACTGTATAGTATAACAAATAACAAAGGAATCTGATTCAATGGTGCAATCAATAACTTCAATCATATGTATCAGCGCCAACAGTGGTAGGGAGTAAAAAAAGGGTGCTTGACAATTCGTATTAAACAACAAGCTGTACCTCTTTCTGTTGTCGTTCCAGCTCTCGCATCCGGATATCTCTTGCTTCAGCTCGGGCAGCACGTTTTGCAGCCAGTCTTGCCTCTGCCTGCAAGAAGAAATCAGTGTCAAAATCCTCAGGTAGTTTGCTGGACAGATTTCAGCAAATAGATACACACTAAATCTTTAACAATGGCAAGATTTTTGCTACCTGGCATCAAAACATTTCAATATTTTCTACATTCAACATAATGATGTTACTGTACGATTTATTTTTCTGTTGACAAGCGCATTGACTCTATCCCAATCATTCGCGATAGAAAAGAAGATCTCATTTGCAAGCTAAAAGTGCATATCCCCAAATATTTTTTTTAAAAATCAGAACCTTTGAATGAAGAAAAAGACTACAGATGATATATCTGTGCAAGTGGTACATCTTTTACGAATTTTAGCTTGTGAAACATCATTGCTAAACAGGCCTAAACTGGAAAAATGAAAGCATATGCACTGATGCACAAGGGGCTTTCCATGTGATCCTATATGAGTAATGCTCTCAATCAGCATGATAGGGCACAGACATGCAGGGGGTCATTTACTAAGCAAATTAGATGCGACTCATGCCATCTCAAAAGTAGCAAAGTTTATGGGACAGCTGTTTTTGTTTGTATTTGCAACCCCGATGCCTGGAGTAGTGGGAAGCCAAACGAATTTGATCTGCAACAGAATAAGCAGATGAGATGAGACAGGATTTCACTCAAAACTGAAGCACAATTTAGAACTGGTCAGGGTTAGGTTTAATTATGCGGCAGTTCTACCTTAGAGCAGTAGAGGAAGGAATTTAAAGTGACACTAAACTGAGGAGTTACAACTTAAAAATAGATTCAAGTACCTTAACTATTAGAAAAATGTATCTTATTTGTGTATCACTCGGCTGTAGATCCTCAAATCACCTCTGAATTCATGCTGACACTGTCCTTCCTTCTGGAGAGGGGGCTACTTTTCTTCCCCATGGTCTCTGTGTATGTTGTGCAGTAGTCACTGCTCCAAACTCATTAGCCACTCTCCAGAAGGAAGGACAGTGTCGGCACAAATTCAGAGATGAGCTGAGGATCTACAGCTGAGTGACACACAAATAAGATAAATTTTTGTTAATAGTTAAGGTGCTCGAATGAACTTTTAAGATGTAACTCCTGATTTTAGTGTCACTTTAAGTATGAGATTAAAATCATAGTAAATCTGTCTCATTGCTCATGGTTAGTATTGCTTGACTGTACAACAGCAATGATCAATGGCCCCACTCAGTTTGTCACAGTGCTAATTGTTGGACAAGCATGTTAGCTTGTATGACAACATTTCTACACCATTCTATTTAAAAAAATGAATGTTATAATGTGTCAATTTTATATATATATAAATATATCCATTTATCCATATCCATATATATCCATTTTCACAGTACAGTCATTTCAAACCCCATATACCTAAGATACATAACCATCCCCCATATTCCATCATGCTAGAGTATAACTTTTGTAAATGAATGCGTTAAAAAACACTCCTTTTTCTAATCCACTTGGATACAATATCTTTTTTTTTCAATATCAATAAAAAAAATTAAAAAAACAATATCGAATGTGTCTAATTTAACATAAAACAAGCAAAATGATTTAAGAGCCAATCCTGTGAGCAGAACATGTGCTTTCCAATGAACTAAATCTAAAATCAGATATTTCCTTTTAACTGAACCAATCACAGGGGCCAAACTTCTCCGTACAACAAAGGTACCAGTTTATAAAGTCAGGCAGCGTGCAGTTGCATTCACAGAAGGGAAAATGTCTGAGTGGAAAACATCACCCATGTTACCATGACTTCCCGAGACAACAAATACAAGGAAACCGTACAGTCATCACAGCTTAAAATAGAAATTCACACTGGTGTGAATTACAGACATTGAGAATTGTATTGGAATGCCATTGGTTAAATCATATTCATCATGTCACAAAAATCAGTACTAGAAACAAAGCAATTTTTACATCTGTGTAAGAGCAGATTCCTGCTTGAAAGGGTGTCCAAATGACTAAAAAGGACCATTTACAAAGGTTAGGGGCCACATCAATGGGCAAATTTAGATTACTTTTGGGTGCATAGTGCTAGTGTGTGACACCGGTTTGAGACAATTCTGAGACTATTTCGAGTTCACCGGCAGGTGCCATTGACCAGGGGTTAAACTCTAACTACAGCTGACCTCCCGAGCTGAATTGACCTGCTTTAAACTACTTTTGCATTTGCACTGACCTGTATGGCGAGAGAAGCAATTATGATGCAAACAAACACCCATCAGGACAGGCCCCAAAGCAGGGGTAACCAAACTTTGGCCCTCCAGCTGTGGTGAAACTACAAATCCCATCATGCATCTGCTTCTGGAAGTCAGGCCTGTGGCTGCCAGAGTCCTGCAATGCCTTATGGGACGTGTAGTTTCAGCACAGCAGGAGAGCCAAAGTTTGACTACCCCTGCCCTAAAGTGAACCTGACCTAAAAGGTTTCTAAGGTAACAATCCTGAAGTGAATGCTCGTTAAGGCGCAATAGTTGGATTAGTCTTCAAATTGACAACTGTTTCCCTGTCGAGTTATGTGGACTCTAAGCCCATGCTGTGTATGGGGCCTCAAATTTGGCCCAGGTTGAGATTAAAAGAAAAAGTATTTTTAACACTGAAATTACCGTATTTTTCGCTCCATAAGACGCACTTTTTTTCCCCCAAAAGGAGGGGGAAAATGTGCCTGCGTCTTATGGAGTGAATACCTATCGCCGACGCCCGGGACATGCAGTTTCGGGCGCCGGCGGAGTAGTTTCTTTTTGTACATTCAGCCCTGCTCCTGACAAGCAGAGCTGAATGTACAGTGGGAGCCGCTGTTCGTTTAATACAAGGGATCTAATTAGATCCCTTGTATTAAATCGAGCGGCGGTGGCATCGGCGATCGTGTCCGCCCCCCCCGCCGTGGTTTTCTGGGTACCCTGTTCCTCTGGGGGACCGTGACCCGTCACGGTCCCCCATAGGAGCTCACCATAGAGCCCATTGAGCAGACGAAGAACGTCGTTCTTCGTCTGCTCCGTGTGATTACTGAGACAGCGCCACCTGTCTCAGCTGTCACTAACTGCAGCTTCTGTGACAGAATTTCTGTCATAGAATTTCTGTCACAGAAGCCATGCGTCCTATCGTCCGGAGCGTCTTATAGACCGCAAAATACGGTAATTTATGCACACATTACTCTCTGCTCCTAGAGTAGACCTAAGCAGTGGTCATAAGATTCAATGTGGGTACCGGTTCCACTGACACCAGTCCAAGAGGGGGTTTCCCACACTCTAGACAGATTTCATAAGGGCTTCTACAACTAATCGATTATAAATCGATAATGAGAATAGTTGGCAATGATTATCATCGATTAGTTGATTGTCGATTAGTTGCTGCCGCTCTGCTCCTACGTTCTCCTTCCCAACTGGTGCTGGCTGCAGAGGTCTGTGTCGCTTTCAATCTCCGCCTGTAATTGGCAGAGGCAGCAGGGACACAGACGACTGCAGCTGGCACCAGTGGGGAGAAGAGACTCGGTGACTCTGCAATCCCCCGCTGCCCCACCGTAAGTCCACTGCTGCTCCGTTCCTCCACTGCCTGCCCCGTACCTTCCCCCTCTTCTGCCGGTGTTCTATCAATTCCTCGGACTTGAGTGAGATAACTTATATAAACATTGTAACTGGGATGATGTATGTTAGTATGGTTGAAGGGTTGTCTAGTGCACACTATGTCACATGTATACACAAATGGAGCCACAGCTCCAGGGTGAATACCGCTGTGACAGATGTGAGCAGGTTGCACTTCTGGAAGCTCACAAAGATCTGGAAGAGGGAACTGCAACACTGAGGAGGCTTGACAACCTTGAGGAGTCTGCTGATCACTGAGCGGACAGTTAATGGGGTTGATGTGGAGGGGTAAGTGAGGATGATCAGGTAGGAAGCTGGGTTACTGTAGCTAGAGGGAGTGGCAGGGGCTTACAGAAGAGGAAGGCCAGCCCTGTGTTTGTGCACCCAAACAAATTTGCTAAGTTGGGTGAATGTGTGCGGGTGGCAGACTCAGAGTTGGCGGCTGTAGATGTCACTGCTACCCCTATCAGCCGGGAGAGAGAAGCCCATTTAGTCCCGGGGGAGGGGGGTAGGTGAGGGCAATGCAGGAAGGCCAGGACAGGTTGTGGCAATAGGGGATTCTATAATTCGGAGGACTGATAGAATAGTTTGTCGCCTGGATCGCCTCAACCGGATGGTTTGCTGTCTCCCTGATGCCAGGGTTCGTCATGTGGTGGACAAATTACTGGGAGGGGCTGGGCATGACACAGCTGTCTTGGTCCATGTTGGGACCAATGACAAAATACATGGAAGATGTATACTCCTCATGGTTGGAGGAGTATTTAAACTAGGATTGAGGGGGGAGGGAGTGATACCTCAAACAGGGGTCAGACTATAATGGAGGGTGGAACAGGGGAAGATGGGGGGAGGGAAATCGAAATGGAAAAGGAGATTTCTATATTGCAAACAAACATTGGAGACTATTGCACTATAACAAAAGATACAGCTATTAATTAATATAGTGAAAAATATAAAAACAGCCTGCATTGTTTGTTCGCCAATGCCCGAAGTTTGGTGCATGAGGAGAACTATGATATAATTGGCATTGCTGAATCTTGGCTTTGTCCTTCACACAATTGGGTTGTTAATATTGCTGGCTGTGCTCTCTTTCGGAGAGATTGGGTAAAACTAAAAGGTGGCGGGTTTGTCTCTATGTGCAATGTGATGTAAGTAGATAAAGCCTGGAAAAGTTTATGTTAACAATTTCTACAGGTGTCCCAACTTTTGTTGATTACTCACAAGTCCTCTGCTGTATAAAAGCAGTGTTGGAACACACTGAGTTACTACACCCTCTTAAAAGGAGAACTATGGGGTTAAGGCTTTTCCCCATAGTTCTCCTTAGGGTAACGGGAGGACACAAACTAGCGTCCTCCCGTCACCCTAAGCTCAGTATACCGCCAGCTACAGCTCGCGGTATACTGAGACGCCGCAGCTGAAGCGGATCCCGACAATTATGTCTGGATCCGCCCGGCTGCGTGAGTGACAGCTGGCTCTGCTTATCTAGAGGCAGAGCCAGCTTTACTCTCCCCCGTCCGTTCCGCCAGTCGGCGCTGGCGGAGCGGGGAGGGGGGAATCCAGCCCCTCCCCTGTCACGGCAGAGAGCTGTGACAGGATCGAGAGGTGAGCGAACGCCGGTATGTGTTCGCTCACCTCCCGATCTACTGAGCCGACCTGTGACAGTCTCATTGTCACAGGTCGGCTAGAACTATGAGGTGAGTGAAAAGCACTCACCTCATAGTTCTCCTTTAAGCAACATTTTGACAGTATTGTACTGCAAGAAGTAGTATACTGTTCTCAAAATGGCGAGAGAAAGGCAATTAACAAAGGAACACAGACCATTAGAACCCTTAAAAGTGTTGATCTTTCCTTTAGAGAAATTGCAAAGAAAGCCAAGGTGTCAGCGAGTACAGTTTCCTACACCATCAAAACGCACTTAGAAACTGAAGGGAACTCTGAGAGGAAGAGATCAGAATCGGAAGACAAGAGAAGATTTCGAACTGCAGGTTTGACAGGTCGAGTGGCAGTAAGAAAGTCATTGCCAAGATAGCAAAATAAGAAAAAGGGGCTTTGCCTGGGCTATGAAGCACCGCCAGTGGACTATTGAAGACTTTGATGAATCAAAATTTGAGATCTTCGGTTCATCACGCAGGGTTTTTAAATGCCGTTGAGTAGACAAAATGATGGTTGCTCAGTGTGAGACACCAACTGTCAAACATGGAGGAGGAAGCTTGATGGTCTGTGGATTTTTTGCTCGATCCAGGGTCATCAATTCACAGAGTGAGTGGCACCCTGAACCAAAATTACTACCACAGCATTTTGTGGCACCATGCAATAGCTACTGGTGTACACCTACTTGATCAGGGGTTCATTCTACAGCAAGATAATGACCCAAAACATACCTCCAGCAAAGCAACCTACAAGTGCAAAACATTTGTGGGAACTTCTGCAACAGTGTTGGGAAGAACTTTCCAAACAATATTTGATTTCCGTTGTAGAAAGAATGCCATGAGTGTGTTCACTTGTTATATCTGCAAAAGATGGCGACTTTGATGAGTCAAAAATTTACAGGGTTATTCCCAAAAGGTTGAAGAGTTTGGAGAAGACGGGAGAAGTGAACAATCTAAGACAACATAGCTGAACTGGAAAATGAGCTGAATTAGAAAATTTTTCTTGGGCCTAGATTGTTCACTTCTCCCTTCTCCAAACTCTTCACCCTCCTGTGAACAACCCTGTTAGATTACATTTTGTTTAAAAAAAACAAAAAACTATTCCATGATTTCTTTTGGATATCCAATTGTTTATTTGTTCTATGCTTTCATTTCAGAGTACACCGAGACATTAAACTTCGTAAACTTGAACAAAAACTGGAAAAAAGGGGTGTTCTAAAAGTTTTGATTGGTAGTGTATACACACAGGGGGAAATGTATCAAAACTGGAGCAGACAAACTGGAGCAGATGTACATGACAACCAATCAGCTTCTCTCTTCAGTTTGTTCTGTTAAGATTTGAAAATGAAAGAGAGAAGCTGATTGGTTGTCATGCACAAGTCAGCTCCAGTTTTGATACATTCCCCTCACAGTATTTAGCGAAGTTCTGCATCATTGCGTAACATACTGTAAAATTTTTACACATTGTTTAAATTGTAGCCCCGTTAGACATCTGTAAACTCCACCTGTTAGACATTCACTAACTCTCTGTGGTGTTCAAACAGATACCAACAGCTGATCACCAGCCACATAATTCTATCTATAGAACAACTTCCTAGTTCACAATATAGTGATGACACAGGCAACTGTCTACTGATAGCAAAGCCATCTGCTATTCCAGGGTAAGTTTATGTGCCTGTTCTCCTAAAGTAAGAGTTCTTCCATTCTCAAAACAAAACCCCTTTTGATTCATGTACTGCTTTAAAGTATAACTGCATTCTCAATACAAAGCTTTGTAACTGTCTTGGGCTACAAATTATCAATGAACAACAAACATGCATGAATGATGTGTGTGTAATATCTATTCAGTCGTATGCGACTTAGTGATTCTATGCGCCAGCTCTCTGGACACCAAGTCTGATACACCAGAGAGCCTTTCCATAGAATTTTCTTGGCAATTCTTTTTATTTTTACAAGGTAAGTCACCAGGTCTTCACTCAACGCTCACCATTTACAATACATGTGCATAGCCAATATGTACAGACATACGAGGGCTGATTCCGAAAAGAGCCAATTAACCTACCAGCATGTCTTTGGAGTGTGGGAAGAAACTAGAGTACCCAGAAAAGAACCCATGCAAGCACTGGAAGACTATACAAACTGTGGAGATAGTGTCCTGGCTGAGGGTGAAACCAAGGACCCCAGTGCTGGACACAATGACATGTCCTTGCAATTTTGTCATATGTATAGAAAAAAGTACGGAAACAAAGTTTTGCATGTAATAGGGGCAGGTGTAACCTGTGGGTCCACCAAGAATAAAACAGAATGCCACAAGTATCTAGTTATCACTCCCCAAACATGCCGTAGCTGGGCTACGCTGAACCATAAAAATACAATGCTGATTTTCATCAGGAGCTTCCTCTACTACACTTAGAATAAAGCTGTGCTGACAGTTACCATGATGTGGTAACGTAGAAGAGAACATACACATTTTTTTTACAGTTTTAAAAAAAACTTCTAGTCCAAGGGCTAAAGCGGGGGACCAGACTACCTGTCCCTCATGACAATTTTCCTGTTGTGATTAAAACAAATTTCTTAACCAAAACCGCATTTAACCGTGCTAGGACGCGTTTCTCAATGGTCATTGCGGTCACCTGAGAAGTGCTTCTTAGCAAGAGTGCTTGTAATTTGCAAGTGAAATTCAAAATCCATAACGCAGGGCTGCACTGGATGGCAGTACAGGGTACAGATAGTACACCCATACTGGCGGAGGGGAAGGACCTTTCACCAAAGAGTGGGCTGAGAGGGGGCCAAATGTGAGCGGGTAATTCCATTTTCCTAAATTACTTGGGAAAGTGAACTTACCTTTTAATGCACATTGTGCGTGTTATAGAGCGCTGCTGCCCAGGAGGGACGGACGAGCAAGCTGCTACAAGTGATCTGGGTGGCTTGTACAAAACGAGCGGTGGCTCCCCTGCTCTACAAACAATGTAGAGAAAAAACACCTGCCCGGCGCCCAGAACTGCATTTTCCAGGCATCGGGTGATAGGAATTCCACACCCCTGTCACAACATACAATGCATGTTATGTGCGTTGGTGCGCTGAGGTGTAATTTATTCTGGATGGCACTCTAATGCCCCTATCCAGCACACCTGTGTTGCAGCACAGTACAACACAGAAAATGCTACGTGCACAATTTTTGGCTGCGTTAAGGATTGCATTCAAATGGTACTGTGTGATGCACACATACATGGTGTGAATGGACCTTAAAATCAGGTTTCAGTCAGAGTCTAACAGCTTAGAAACACCTGAAGGGTGTTTCCATTAGAGGAACCGTAGGCTGAATATTTTAGTGAGCCTAGTTTAGGCGCAGGTACACCTTTAATGCCAGCTCTTGCAGATGGTTATCATCTGAAGCTTACAGGTGGCTGAGGTCTCTCTCCCCACCACCATGTTGCAGAGCTGGGTGTCAAAGCAGCTGATCGTTAAGCACCATTGGGGTTACATGAGAGGGATGGGATTGAGTCACGTACTACCTCATACCCTAAAGTTTCAGGTATGTCACTTGCCTTCCCTGAGCAGAATTGAACAGCAGCAGCAAAGTGAAGGCTATTATGAGCGTCTCTAGAGACCGGCATTACCATTAACATGATGCGTTGTACTTCATGAGCTAAGCACAAGTTCACTTTAAAACTGTTATGCCATTGTACAGTAAATAGGTTAGCGTGCAGTTTAAAGTATTTTAGAGTGTAACTCAGGTCAAAGTGTTCTTTTTATAGCTATTTTTCTGACATTTTTATTTCGGTCTGTGACCTGATTGGGGATCTTTCTCTCACTTCCTGCTCTTATAATGCCCATAAAAATAGGAGAGCAACAAAACACTGTCGCAAGTCTCGCTATTTGTAAAAATGTTTTTCGGTTCTTGAGAAATTTCCTATAACTTCCTGTCTAGACAGGAAATGAGGTGAATTTTCTATAACAGTGACACAAGACTAACATTACTAAATAAAAAGCTGGTGTTGGGCTTGAAGATAGTATTGAAAAATGAAGAAAGTATTAGGAACAAAACCAACCTCTCTTGCAATATGACTCAGGGCTTCATCTTCAGCAGAAAATCTGTCTTTAATTTGGGTACGTTTCCTTCCAGATCCAGGAGTCCCCATTTTTTGTCTTTAATCCTATCCAACTTTTCCAGTTCCTCTTGCCAACTTCACAGCTGCCAGCCTTCAATAACCAGAAAAAAAAAATTAGACAAAAGAACACAAAAGGCAATTATTCATATACAAATGAAATGCATCATAAAAGCATACCATATGTCCTAGAAATGTCATAGGAATGCAGACAGCAGAATTTATATAGGCTTCATTACAACTCATCCTCATATAAAGTGCACCTTTCATCAAAGAAATATGTAGGCTGCCACTACTGACCTCCCCATTTGAGAATGTTAGTTTCCTGGCTTCCATATTGATGCTTTGGCTTCAATGCTTTCAGAGTCACTAACAATAAACATGTATAAATAAATACAAGGAACCAAGACACTTTTCTGATACATATTACCAGTGCGTCTATTTTGGGTTCATAATCTACAGCACTGAAGCTGGACTAGTTTAAAAGTAGGTCGGTTATGGCAACCTTCGTACTTCTCACATAAAAGGTGCACATTAAGTACACTTGTCATAAAAGAAATATGTAGTCTAATACTACGTGCCTCTTAAAACATGTTTGTCTTTAATATTTCTAAACCACTGTCCCTGAACAAACATTCAGGTTACTTAAAGTCGAGGAAAGTTCAGAAAATAGTGTGTATGGAATTTGATCCAGTTTAAATCCAAAAGCATCAGCATGACAGCCAGGGAACCAGCTTTTTCAGAAGGGGAGATCAGCTTTCCCAGCCCATATATTTCTCTCTAGGTAGGTGAACCTTGACAAGAACTCAACAAAATAAAGACACTTTAGCATTAGAAAATCTGAACTGCAGGCAAACAGACAGATGTAAATAGACAGATGAAATACATATCGGGGAACTGTTTTACCAAAGGATTTCTATTTGTGTTTATCCAAATTTGAGATTTTCACAGCTCTGCCACACAGCACAGTTCAGTCTAGGCCTGTCTGATTTTTCTGTGCTGCAGTTGATTAACACTAACTCACACCTAGATGTTTTGTTAACGTGCGTCAAGGCACATAAAAATGCTCGCTTTGACACGGTTTCCCCAAATGTGCACAAACACGAAAACACACTTACCTATGTTGCCATTACTAGTTAATGGCACCCCAAACGGAGGCGGGAAATTACACATTACAGATTTTGATACATAGGCTTCTTTTCTGCCTTTGTTGCGCATACAGGAACCACTGAAATCAATGGGGACATGCTGCAAACGTAGAAAAAAATGCGCATGAACACACACAACTGCGACGCGTGTCCCTGGTACCACTAAGTGTGAATGGAGACAAAATCTGTGACACGCTTCCAACTTTTTTTTTTTTACCATATACATTTTTTATTGTGGACAAAGAAGAACATAGACAGTCATACAAAAGCTGTGCTGGTTACAATAGACCTGTAGTATTTTCCTTGTCTGGTACGGACTGCGCTGGTGTGAACAGAGGCCAAAAATAGCATAGGTATTCATTAGGATGCATTTTGGGTCCGGAAACAATCGGGTGTGGTCTGGTCTGAGATGATCTGGATGTGCTGTGAATGGGCCCTTAATGCTTTCAGAATGAACAACACTGTCGCCCTACAACAGGAAGTGGAAACATAATGGCAGGATCAATAGGTAATAAAACTATGTTACGGAGTGGGGCCTCAGAAAAACTGACTGCTGTGGTAATGCTAGTGGCATGCTGCATCATATATGTCTTCATTTTGCCCACAGTTTCAGTTTAATCGATCATGAAAGGGGCCCATTAACAGCAATGATGATGCCAGTATTCACTGCAGGATCAGGCTTAAAGACCCTTAACTCATGACCCATTGCAGAGTACACTTCAGTGCTTCTACAGTTGTTAGGACATCAAGGCTGTACATAACCAATTCGGGCCAGACAGATTAGAAAACACTACATTACAAGGTATGCATTTATAATTAAAGTGACACTACACTCAGGAGTTAAAAGGAGAACTATGAGGTGAGTGCTTTTCACTCACCTCATAGTTCTAGCCGACCTGTGACAATGAGACTGTCACAGGTCGGCTCAGTAGATCGGGAGGTAAGCGAACACATACCGGCGTTCGCTCACCTCTCGATCCTGTCACAGCTCTCTGCCGTGACAGGGGAGTGGCTGGATTCCCCCCTCCCCGCTCCGCCAGCGCCGACTGGCGGAACGGACGGGGGAGGGTAAAGCTGGCTCTGCCTCTAGATAAGCAGAGCCAGCTGTCACTCACGCAGCCGGGCGGATCCAGACATAATTGTCGGGATCCGCTTCAGCTGCGGCGTCTCAGTATACCGCGAGCTGTAGCTGGCGGTATACTGAGCTTAGGGTGACGGGAGGACGCTAGTTTGTGTCCTCCCATTACCCAAAGGAGAACTATGGGGAAAATCCCTGACCCCATCGTTCTCCTTTAAGTCTTAAAAATGCATTCCAGCACCCTCACTTAACTATCAACAAAAAGGTATATAATTTGTGTATCACTCAGCTGTAGATCCTCATATCATCTCTGAATGTGTGCCAACACTGTCCTTCCTTCTGGATGGTGGCTACTTATGTTTCCCATGGTCCCTGTGTGTATTATAAAGTAGCCACGGCTCCAAGCTCACTCCTGTGATGGACTACAATCTCAATACAAATTATTAAACTAAATGTGAGACTGTAGTCCATCATGGGAGCGAGCTTGGAGTGGTGGCTACTTTACAACACCAATGGGGACCATGGGGAAGAAAAGTAGCCACCCTCCAGAAGGAAGGACAGTGTCAGCACTAATTCAGAGATGATTTGAGGATCTATAGACGAATGATGCACAAATAAGATACAGCAGACCTTAACCCTCTTTGGCAAAAAATCACATTAGCATGCAACTCTGCATGCTGATATGAAATAATCATACATTCATTAAACATATTTTCATTTTAACTTACAATATCTTGTTTTCTACTTCCTGGCTCTCTTTTGCAAAAAGAGTGATGTAATGTGCCCAAGCTTTGTATCCTGGGAAGGTTACATGAGCAGAGCATTGCTGGGGGTCCCTGGTTCGAATCCCGGCCAGGTCACTATCTGCAAGGAGTTTGCATGTGGTTGCGTGGGTTTCCTCCAGGTACTCCGGTTTCCCCCCACACTCCAAATACATGCTGGTAGGTTAATTGGTTCCTCTCTAAGTTGGCCCTCTATGTATTCATGTGGGATAGGGACCGTAGATTGTAAGCTCCTTGAGGGTAGGGACTGATGTGAATGTGCAACTATGTAAAGTGCTGCGTAAATTGTCGGCGCTGTGTAAAGAAATAAATTATCATCTGTAATCACATGAGATCTCAGGGAAAGACATTTTCCTCCCCTCAGATGATATGCATGGTCACATGTGCCAGAGTTCCAGGAGGTGAAGGTAGATTAATCTGCCCTTATTAAAAAAAGGGCCACTGTGAGAAGACTAGGGAAGAAAATAAAAACACGGTATGCATAGAATAAAATGCCAGCAATAATCTAGAAGCATCTGTTTGTAGATAGTGATTACTAAATATTTCTAAAAGGTGCCTTTGTTGTCATTTTGAAAATATGGATGAAGTTCCTCTTTAAAAGGTACTTGAATGCATTTTGTAAGATTTAACTCCTTAGTTTAAATGTCACTTTAAATATTGACATTTGGACATTTGACATTTGGAACACAATGTAGAAAAGTTACAACTACTGTCTGGTTTTTAATGCTATAGGTCCCCACTGGAGACCCTTACTCTTACTATTGGTCTCAGTGACTAACGTTTACCGTGCAGAAAGTGGTGGAAAATCCCCCAAAAATTGTTGTAATGGCAACAGGAGGTGGGATCAAATCTTGCAATGGGTAAACCTATTCCGGCAACAATTGTCTAAAAGGGATATCCCCTTGCTTTATAGAGATCTCTTCTTAATTGCTATATGAGAAAGGAAAAAGGAAATAGGAGAGAAATCTCCCTATTGGGACAACAAAAAAATATTCAACCCATTTCCTACTCTTTCCAAAACTAAAAAAGTTTTGGAAAACTTACATTCACAAAGTGAAAGCAACCTAAAACAGATAAAATATGATTATGTCTTCATAGTACAGGTCGAGCAGACCATTCACTGTTCATATAATACTCTTGATTTACAGAAGATCAGCAGGAAAACATTGAACATTTTTTTAAAATCCAAAGCAAAACTTTGTTTCCATTCTTTCCTGTCACTGAAAGGCATGCGAGGAAGAAGGACTGGGCCCGAGTCATCTTAAATTTACAATCAGTTTGTCAGACTTGGCAAACACATGGCAAAAGAAAACAAAATTATTTATCGATTCCACATTTCTTTTTAATTAGTAGTAGAACAAAATGAAAATGAACAAGTTTAATTTATTGCCATCTGTACAAAAATAACATACAAGTTTCCACTTGTAGCAGTTGAGATTTAGCACAGCAATAGCTAAAACTACCATGCCAGGCAGACTAATATAACCATTGTGGGAGGAAGCATGCACTCAGACACAAGGACATCCCAAAATACCTCGGCAAACCTATGCGACAACTGTAGCAGTGTATTGGTTTATGACACAGAATAAAATAAATAAACATGACATTTAATTTACTAAAGCACTGCTGCATTTTTTTTGCGTTCACACTGGACTGGAACGCAGGCAATGTTTTAACACGCGTCCGATCGCACTGCAGACGGGGGAAGTGGTTACGGTGCCAATGACTTCAATGGACCGCCAAAAAAAAAAAAAGTTTAAAATTAAAATGAAATAAAATAAATCTAATAATAATTAAAAAAAAATGTAAAAAGTCCCCCGCCAGCACGCGCGTCGCCACGTAAACACGCCTATGGGTGCGCCCCCAATGAAAACGGCGAACAGCACACACATGTTGGGTATCGCCGCGCACGCCGGAGTGAGAGCAATAATTCTAGGGCCTGTATTTTGGGGTATCTCTAAATTGATGACCTGTGGGGGCTTTTAAAGCGTCTTCTGTGGACTTTTTGGGGTACTGCAGTTTTCTGCCGTTTCACGGACGCACGCAATTTGTAAACTGGACATGTTGGGTATCATTGTACTCGTTGT